ACGTGGGGCACCTGTTGGTCCCTCCCAGGGGAGGGGGCCGCGCGCCCGACTCGGCTCCCCGGAGGCTCTCTCCTCCCTAAGCAAGCTGGGCGCAGCCCGAGCTTCCGGCCGCCCTCGCCCCTTGCCCCTCGCCCCTCGCGTTGTGTAGTAAATAAAGCGTTGGCCAAATTAAGCAAATAAGCCAAGTACTTCTGTGCGGATCTCCCAGCCTGTGTCTGAGCTGCGCAACGGAGAGCACCGTAAGTAGCTTGTCTACTCCGCAGGCTTTCTTGCTCTGATCCCAAGAAAATGTTGACTTTGGCACTGTTTCTGTTTGTCAGGGCAGGGGCCTGCCTCAATCATTGCGCGTGAGGTGACACGCAGATCTTCAGGCCCGCCCGCGTCCTCATTCAATTCTAGAGGGCGCCTGAACGTTTAAAGGTCAAATCCCACAGGACAATAGCACGATGGCTGGTAAGCTCTACATGACTGTTGTATATTCGCGCGTAATCTGTACCTTCTCATACTTCATCAAAAAAGCGTTCTTTGTATAACGTGCTTGCTCGTTGCGAAGAAAAAGAAAAAAAGAAGAGAAAATACCAGTAAGCAATTTGGAAAACCATTGATATTTCATTGCTGGTTGAGAACCCCTTAACATCATAGTGTATGTTCTCATTGTCATTCTAGCCATATAAGATTTTACATATTTTAGTTCATATGTATTCTGCCTTGACCAGATTCTCCACTTCTTTGAACATGTTTTTAGCCACTACATAATGTTCTAAATGTACTTAACCTGTCTGCTGAACACTAGCAATTTTCATAATGCAATTAGGTATCTTTGTGCTTGTGCCTAGGTACTTCCTTGCAATAAACTGAGGTAAATTTCTAGGTTCCTAGGCATATTTAAGTTTTTTTATGCATTATCAAATTGCCCTTCAGAAAGTTTGCTTTTTGGGCTGGGCATTTAGCTCAGTGGTTCCGCCACCTGCCTCGCAAGTGCAAGGACTCCAGTTCGATCCCCAGTACCAAAAAAAAAAAAAAAAAAGTTTGCCTCTTTCCTCTTGTCTACACCCTTCCCAATTATTCGTGCAAATGTCAATCTGATAGGCAAAAATGACAGTTTTCTAGTTTTTTACATCCTTCCTGTTTAAAAGTTTAAAAACACTGCATTTCCGACTGTAGTTCTAGTTGGTTCCCCACCCTTCCGACACCAATAACCTTCAGCAAAACTGGCACTTGATCACTTTAGCCCTGCAAACCTGAAGAGAGGGAAAAGGAAAAGTATTTTCCACTGAATTCATCCCAGTAACATCTACTGAACACCCAAAAGTAAAAAACAAACAAACAGGGCTGGGCCAAGCAGCGGATGGGGTGCCCGCAGGCCATCCCGAGGGTAGGGGAATTTGTCTTCGAGTCTGAATACCAGGGAGGGTTGAACTCTGCTTCCATATCAGATGGTTTCAGAGAAATGTAAGGCAAAACACACATGGAATTATAAATACTTCAATGGCCACATTTCAAAAAGCAAACAAGGGAACTGTATTTTAGTAAGATTAACCCGTGGACCCCCAAATATTATCTAAACACATAATGAATATGAGATACTGTACACCGTCTTTGAAGTCCTACTGTACGCGTCACACATTTTGACTTGGACAAGCCCAATGTCCACAAGTGGTGAGTGGGCCTGTGCAGCTCCTGACAGGCCAGACCCCAGCCCTAGTGAAAGTGCAAAGTCCACACGACAGCCCACTCCATTCCTCACGCCCGTGTCCTTCTACAGTTCTGCCTAGTAAGGTCTACCCTGGAAAAGCCGTATTTCAATCCTGAGCACTCCTAGCATTTTTGATCGGTCTTTAATCGACTTTCTTTCCATTCTCTGATAAAGTAGTGAAGAACAAAAAAGGATAAATACTGGAACAGACACCAGCTGCCTGCGAACTTCTCAGCAGAGCATAACCAGAGCATCATCTGGCCCGGCTGCCTCCAGGTCTTACCAGTGTGGGGAGGCGGGAAGGCCAAGCTGTGGAGAGCAGGAGTCAGTACCACTAATGGGAGGAGGCCTTTTATCCAGAGAGACTGCGCGGCTCCTTGCCATCCATGATGGTCTTTCCTTCGTGAAGACTTACGGGAAATGAGAATTTATGAAAGGCCATCATTTCTAAGGGCTTATGAGCTTCTTAGCTTCTCAGGACTTATTTTGCCTTATTCATCTTTCTGACCCCTGTGCCTGGAAAGATATGCAGTGGACCCTCAAGTTAGGACCAGCCTGACTCACAAACCACCTGGGTTAATTAGGTTAATGGAAGAGTCATCTATCTCATTATCTACAGTGTGTACCCAAGTAAACATCCAGACCTTGGCTGTACTGACTTACAACCAACTTGAGTTACAACCAGCCCTTGGGGACTGACTTCATAGTCAAGGGTCCACTGTACATAGGAAATGGGCTTTTAAATTGTGAATTATTTCATGAACTACCCTGTACAGTGTGCCTCGGTTGTAAATACATAAGGTGTGCATATTATTTTAAACGTGGACCTCAGCACTGAACACATACCAGGAAGCACCCGTGGCTTTGGAGATGAAGCAGCCTGTTGTTCCCCCACCAGCTTTCTCCTGTTAGTTCTGTGACCCAGGAAAGGTGCTTAACTGTGATTGCTGTTTTCTGACCTACAGAGGATGGTGATAGGTACAAGTTCCTAACCCTAGGGACCCCAACTCAGATTCTTGGCATCCAGTCCCTTAAATGACAGAAGTGAAACTAGATGCATGTGGATAACAGAAATTAAGATGGAGACAACAATGAATTTACAGACAAAAGCTTTAATGGAGAAGGAAGAGGAAGTGGGGAAGGGACTTCAGCTTGAGAGGAAGGGGAGCTATGCCCCCTCAATTTGGAGATCAGACTGGCCCATTAATAGGAAAGAGACAAGATTTTGTGGCATTTCTGGGTAGGCTGGGATCTGCCAACTTTCCACTGGATCGTGGAAATGGAATATTTGGACACTTCTTTCTTGTTTCAGGGCATTTCTTCCTTGTGTAGGTTATGGATCAGCAGCTATTCTCCCCCTTTGAGACAACATCATGTCTCCCTGCTGTTACAGCACACCTGGTCCTTGCAGTGACAGTAGGGGATTATGGGAAGGGTACATGCTATACATTGTTGGCAAGGGAGAATGAGGGAAAAGACCGCTTCACCTTTAGTGGCTAACAGGTCATAGATTAAAGCCCTGAGAATCCCTCCAGCTCTTGTCCTCAGGAGGGTCCTTCCTATTTAAAAACTGCACACAGCACAGACATGAAGAATACCTTACAGATGTGCAAAGTTATGTATTTCCCTAAACCCACAGAGAAGCCACTGACCAGAGCCTTGTTTCTAAGAACGTGAAACAGTCTGTTTATTAAATGGCAAAGCACCCATTCCCGAGAAAACAAAGGGGGCCCAATCCTCAGGTGCTCCACTGGCAGCAAATTAAGCCAGAGCAAGAGCTGTGAAGCAGCAAGCAAAGGGAGAGGACAAAGATTTTAGTGGGAACACGAGAAGCAGAAATGCTGCCATCTTATACCCAGTGTCTGGAACAGGCACCATTTGGTTTAGGGGTGAAAGTATATGGCCCAACTCCTCTATAAGATAGAATAATAATGCACAAAGTTACACTGTATTTGCTTTGGGGGGAATGTGATGCTTGTGGATGAATTAAGTAAACAAGCACTTTTTGTGCAGGCAGGCAAAGGATTGGGTAAAATTCAACATCCCAAACTACTCAGTGCTCCACAGCTAGCTGCTGTAGCTGGGCATGGTGATGCATGCCTATAATCCTACCTACCTGGGAAGCTGAGGCAGGAAGACTGCAAATTCAAGGGGAGCAGTTTAGTGAGACTTTATCATAAAAAGCAAACGTGGGAGTGTAGTGAGGTGGAGAATATGCCTAGCGTGCATGAGGGTCTGGGTTCAATCCCCAGGACCGCAAACATTTTCCTGCTCTTGCCGATTATGAGGATCATAGATTTGGCTATGTCTTCACATCTGTTTGTCTTAAGTATTCACTGGATGAATTTTGATAGCAGTGTGTGCACCTTGGAGGCAGCAGGGTGGGCTCCGGTACTGCCTGGCCTGCAACAAGCATCTGTTGTTACCTCACGGCCTCTCATCAATTACTGCCATGAGGTTTGAAAACTGGAGTCTTCTCAGGGTCTCGGTTAAAAAGGAAGAACCGGAAAATGGCTGAGGCTCAGAGCTAAAACTGTGGACGGAACGAGTTTTAGGAGGTAGTCCAGGAGCAACCGCTTCCCTGGAGGAGTTGACGACAGGGCCTGAATGGTACCCTGAACAATGCTCAGGTGTGAGATATTAATGCCTATGTAGGGATGCCTTCTGCAGCTCGTCCTAGGAGTTGAGCAATAATCTTGCCATTAACCCAACCGGATCTCCTGTCAAACAAAATCATTTTATCAGGCCTCCTCCTGTATGTTTACAACCACAGGCTGCCTTCCAATTCCTTCTATCTGGAACAATGAAAATCACTTTCCGATTTCCCTCGTGTGTTTGATAAACTGCTTGGGCATGAATGTAGCTGTGGAATCACCTGTACAGCTGAGATGCCCAGCTGGCGTCTTTGTTAATCCCAGAAGGGTGCTGCTGAGAACATGAAGTCGAGACTCAGCCTGTGAGATTAGCAAGGCCATACGTGGTCTTATTAAAAAATGAATTGGGCCCCCTTTGTTTTCTCGGGAATGGGTGCTTTGCCATTTGATAAACAGACACTGTTTCATGTTCTTAGAAACAAGGCTCTGGTCAGTGGCTTCTCTGTGGCTTTAGGGAAATACACAACTTTGCACATCTGTAAGGTATTCTTCATGTCTGTGCTGTGTGCAGTTTTTAAATAGGAAGGACCCTCCTGAGGACAAGAGCTGGAGGGATTCTCAGGGCTTTAATCTATGACCTGTTAGCCACTAAAGGTGAAGCGGTCTTTTCCCTCATTCTCCCTCACCAACAATGTATAGCAATGTGCCCGTCTACCATGTCAGGTACATAGTTTGAGTTCAATAAATATTTGTTGAATGACACACAGTTGACATATTATAAATGGAAGCATCTTAATAGTGTGTCAAACTGATCCAGGAGACACTCAACCCATACCTCTATCTGTCAGGCGGGTGCAACAGGTGGTATTTATCTCTTTTGGGAGTATAAGAGAAATAGCTGAAATACCAAATAATATAAAATGCCATAAAATTATGTCATATTCCAATGTTCAGGGCCAAATGATACAACACTGGACTTTGAAGAAATGAATTTTAGCTCTTGATGTATTTGACTAGCTTCCCTACTTTTCCTTAACACAGAGGCCAATTCTGTGATTCCGTAGTTGTCATTTGCATTTCTGTTCTGATAGGAATGGGCAGGCAGTATGAACAGACTATGTAGTGTTCCAGTGTGAGCAAGAAAAGGCAATCAGCAAAATGTCGGCAGTAAGTGCACAAAGGAAAACTAGCTGACAAGTGAAAGGATTTTATTGGGTAAAGCAGCATAATCTTTTATCTACATAGAAACCATATCAATTTTCAAACAACTTTCTACATAAAGGAAAACTCCATTTAACAGAATAGCTGATACACATTACCAGTAAAAGCAAAACAACAGCAAAAACCACACCAATCTTTTAAGATCTGCTTTCAGTTGGTGACCAAGTCTTACATTACACTGTTATAATCTGATAATTAAATTATGGAAACTTTTCCAAATAGAAACTTTGGGGCTCGCAGGAAACTTTCCAGTTGGCCCATAATTCTGCACATGCATGTTTAGGAGAATTTAAGATTATGTGCTTCAAGATAAATCTATACTACTGTATTTATGCTCTAGAACCCAGGGTGCTCTACCACTGAGTAACATCTCTATGCCCACTTCCTCCCCAGTCTGCTCAATCTTTTTGACACAGGATCTCACTAAATTGTCCAGGCTGGGCTCACACATGTGATCCTCCTGTCTCAGCCTTTCCAGGAGCTGGGACTACAGGTGTGCACCATCATGCCCAAGGAGAAAACAGTAATTTCTTTCTACAGTAAAAATCTAATGGCTACAAATTTGGAAGGGAATGGATACAAGAGCCGAAAGACAAAGTCCTTTCCCAGGGAAGTGATCCACAGATCAAGGACAGACTCCAGGCCCAAAGGCAAAGCCCAGTCCAATCAAGGGTTGAGAAAAGCAGCGATGACCTCAGCATGGACAGGAAAAGAGGGAAGAAGCAAGGAGCATTTATTATGTGGAAGAAGGTGACTAGGAGCGAGGGGAATATCCTATTAGAAAGTAAACATACAGAAAATAATAAAACTTGTATATCCACCAACTTATCCAGTGTGAACACAGAGCTGTATTTCTTCAATACTTTCATGTTACAAAACATCGCAGGACTCGAGGTGGAGCTCAGTGGTAGAGTGCTTGCCTGGCATGTGTGAGGTCATGGTTTTAATTCCACCATAGCAAAAAAAAGTTATATGTACAGTGGAAAGCCTCTATCCCTTCCAGGTATTGCCATTAATTTAGTATAAATCTTTGATATAAGATTTATCTAGTGGTAAGAACTTATGGAAGAAAAAGCCCCAACCAAACAAAAGTAAGTAAAAGTTTAGAGGCATAAAAATGTCATTAAGAAAAAGTAGATGAAGATTCTAAACAACAACAACAAAAACAACAAAACAAGATGTAATACTTTTTCTCATAAGTCTAGCCTTTGTTTCCTTCCTCATTAGTGTTTACTTCCAAAAGGCACTGTTTCTGAAAGAGAAAAACCAACCATCATTACACCATACATAAAAACTCAACCCCTGTGGATCTTAATTTCTAGTTTAAATACAAGCACACAAAATAAGCACTTTCAAATGAAATTACATTCACTTTAGACCTGTAAGTGCTGTATGTTAGTTAAAACTCTTTATACTACCCTTCACAAATATAAAATATAGTTGTTGGTACTCTCCTTCAGATAACACTATTTGATATTAACTTGTGTGTTAAAGTAGCTAATTATTACTTTTGAGCATTAAATTACAAAAGGTTTATATTCTTATCAGTAGAGCACTCCTATTTTGGAGATTTACAATTACATTATCGACAAAACAAATTCCTCCAAAGATGACATCATACTTAGATTTTAAAATGATTTTTATCTGTAGGAAGAATAATTTAATGGTTTGAATCAATATTAAATGGTACCTTCACCACAATGAAGAAACTATAGAGCCAGACACATAGGCATGCACCTGTAATCCCAGCACTCTGAGACTGAGGTAGGAGGACTGCAAGTTTGAGTCCTGCCTGGACTACTTAGTGACTTAGTGAAATTTTGTCTCAAAATAAAAATATAAAATTAAAATTAATAAAGTAAAAATAAATTTAGAAATGTTTAAAATACTAAAATTTTAAAATAAAACTAAGTTTAAAAATAAATAAAAATTAAAAGGGACTAGGGATGTAGTTCAGTGCCAAGGGCCTGGGTTCAATTCTCATTACCGCACACATGAAAAATGTTTAAGCAGCCATGTATGCAAGTTTTCTCAATACAACCCCTCTAATTTCATTCTCTATACAACGGACCTAATCTAAAATGATGCCATAGCACAGAGTACAGGCAGCAGCCATGGCAGTAGAAAGGACTCAGCACTGAGTCTTATGACCTAGTTTGTAATGGGCAGCTGTGGACCCCAGCTTCCTTGGCTATGAGGCCTACCTTCTTTTTAAATGTGTTGTGAAGGCTGTGTGTGTGACTTGATGTAACAGTGTACAGAAGATACTACCCAAACACAAGGTATTATGATGTATTAAAATGTAGGCAAAAGGGATTTAGCTTAGTGGTTCTGTACCTGCCTTGAAAGCACAAGGTCCCAAGTTTGATCCCCAGTACAATTTTCAAAAAGAAAAATATAGGCAAAGTATCTATTCCTACACTAGAGGGAAAGCCTCTAGTGCTCTAAGTCAAAGTTTTTTAGTGCTACTAAGCTATCTCCAACTTATCTACCAACAACAGAAAATAAAAGTTTCATCTTAAATTATGTGTGTAAACACTCCATGTTTTTATGGAAAAAGCCTATTACACAGATAAAGCAACAAAAGCACATTCAAGTTAACCAACTTGACTAAAAATAAGGGCAATCTGATGCTAGGACTACAATTTCAGATGTTCATGTCACTGCATGTTAATCTATGAAAGCAAAATCAGCATTAAACTCAAGCACACAACAGTCACTGCTAAAAGTGTTAGAAAGATTAGAAAGTTGTGCTTGCAACTATTAAATCAGTACTTATTAGAAATAACACAAATTTGTGAGAGATAGAAATCTTGAGAAAACTTGATCCTGTATTAAGGACATTTAGCTTAGAATTGGACCATACTTTTTTTTGGGGGGGGCACTGGGGATCAAATTCTCGTCCTTGCGTGAGGCAGGTGCTGGAACCACTTGGCCCTGAACTATACTTTCTTAAAAGCAAATGTAACAGTCTATTATATAGAAAATGTGTTTTATCGCCATTATTTCTGATTTGAGATTTACCTTGCCAATGAGAGTATAATAAAGAACAATCTGGCCTCTTGAGCTACCTCCCAACTATCTAATATAAACTACACTAGGGCCAACAAAAACACGTATCTGAAATAAAGCAAAGCTATGTATGTATTGGCTGACAGTATATCAAAATCAAAATCGTAAGGAAGATAACTTCCATTTTTATCAGAGATTCTAACTGAATATTGTTCACAGAGTAATTTCTCAGGGTCATCTTCAGATAAAGGATACAAGAACACTGAGAAAGCAGGGTAACTATTGGTTTAGAGTCACCAAATATGTTCTTTAAACACTGGCATCACCACAGCCTAAAGAGGGGTAATGTTTCACCTGGAAATAAAATCTGCTCTCTGAGCAGTTTTCCATTCCATGCCCTTAGGTTCTCTTCACAAAAAGTACAAAACTTATTTGTAGTGGGGCAAATGAGATCTGAGATGATTTTAAATCTGGATGCAAGGAGTCTGAGGCTAAGCTTCACATCGCAAAAATCTATGTGAGTTCATATAAACAACATTCAGCATTCGTAAAATCAAACAACAACATGGAAAGGCCCTGGCAACCTCAACGACCCTAAGCTCAAATTCATTAAGGGTAGCACAAGCAAACTATCAGGTCAGAGCCTGGAGGGCAGCATTAACTTTGTAGCCAAACTCAGATCAAGCATCGCAAAATAAAACAGCCTTATAGCAGGTGTCGCTCCCTTGGCTCTACCCTGACAGCAGGACTGGAGATGTCCCTCTGGCAAGTGGCAAAAACACCCAACTTGACTTACTTAACTTTTTAGCAGTTTTTTCATTTCAGTAAATTTATTTTGATTGGTTGGATTGTTCAAGAGGAAGAACAGAATCTGTTCGTGTTTTTCAACCTATGGATAAAAAATAGTATAATTTAGTTTCTGAGAATGTTAGGAGTACAATTCTACTTAAAGGAAAATTTACCTACTTGTTCCTGTAACTCTGTGCAGCAGCAATTCATCCTATGTGTCTTTTCTAAAAGCAAATGGAAAAAAACATCAAGTAGGAAACATAGGTCCAACATATGTCTCTTCTGTCCAAACAAATTTGCACCTGAACAAATATATATCTGCCCTCTTGCCTGGGTTCCATCTACAGGGGACTCTTGACTTACAAATTCAATCCCTGAGAGTGGTTTGTAACTCAAGTTGGTCAATGAAGGCTCAGGCTCCTCTATACAGCCTTCAAAGTCTCTCCCATACACAGGCAGATCCTTAGAGAGACACTGGCCCAGGATTTCTCAACCGGAAAGGGTGTTGTAATGCTCTTTCCAGAACTCTTTAAGGGTTCAATCTATACGAGACAATCTGTAAGCACAAGTGGCTGGCATTGTTTATAACTCCAGACTTTGGTCATAAAACTAAAATTCCGGTTGTAAATCAAGTTGTTCCTATGGCAGGCCAGTCATAACTTCGAGGGTCCACTACAAAAAAACACAATATACTCATCCGACTTTAATATTATCTATGCAGTGATTTGAATTTTTACAAATTAACATGCACATTCCAAGGGGTGGGTCTTCTATTATGTACAGGACTCCTTTTTGGTGAGAACAGGTCTGCCAAATACCTATCTTATAAAAATCCGGAAAAATCCAATCTTGGCAATCAGAGTTCCCCTTTTTATCAGGATCAAAAGTGAACTGGGATTAAGGGACAGGCAGAACACCAGACATTTCTAAAGCTCACCACTGTGTCTGAGCTAGGGACCTGGGATGGGAGACTCTGCATCATCGAGGTGGCTCCTCCTAGGTGGCCCTGCCATGGGATGCAGAGGAGGGGAGGGGACCATGGGCAAAAAGGGAGGAAAGACCTGGTTAAATTTATTGTCCTTGCTACTTGTTAAACCTACATCTACTACTGATCACACTTGAAAAAATACCTTTATTTAAAGCATTTTGATTTTTAGATGTGATGTTCTTTGCCAGATCATACTTCACCAGCTTATCAGCTACACCGACAGAACCATGCTCAGAACATTTCTCAACTGACACTGTGTGAATATTCTTAGTAACTTCTTTCACAGAAAGCATTACATTTTGATTTAACATGAAATTTTTTAGTAGCTCTATTATTAATTGAGAACAGCTTCCATTCAATTCTACCAGTCCTAGAAAAAAATAATTGAAGACTTTGGTTAGTTTTCAAATCCCTTAAAAACAGATATATTTAGATAAATTACCTAAAAATAATAAGAAAAGGCTTACTGACTTCATCTGAGTTTTGGTATGCTTTGATGTACTACTGCTGTTACATCGCAAAATCAAAGTTACACACTGAATATTTACTGATGACCTGTAAGGTGTCAAGCACTAATCTAGGGTTAGAGGGCACAAAATACACACAGAATCTGCCCCCCACGACCCCGTGATCTAATGGAGAAGCAAACAATACTTTTCTCACTGAGTCAAAACCAAAGCAGACCATGAGGATTAGTGTGATATCAGCTTGGTGGGCCGAGTGGCGATCAGGAGCGACCATAAAAAGGTACCTCAAGCATTTTAGTTTACTCAAATTCCAACTGGAGTTGGAATGTAGTAAACATACGAAGGAAACCAAAACTGGTGTCATTTAAGCGTCCCCCAGTCCTTAGAGAAAGCTATGGCCAAGGAGCAAGATCCCTGGATGAAAGTCAGACCACCTCGGTTCATATCGTGCTCCTGCCACTTTCTACTGCACCTTTGAGGCAGAAGCAAAAGACAATCTCTGAACCTTGGTGCTCTGAAAATAAGCTGTAAAACAAAGACAGACTTAACTGATTACAGTTTTTGTGAGTTAAAGAATAAAGGATATGAAATGTCTTCGAAAACTCTGCTTGACATTTAGATACCTGAGCAGATACCAGAAATATACATTTGGTACAAAAGGCATTTGTAACTCAGAGCTGTGAAACACAAGGCATTCAAATTTGAAAAGTGGCTAAATTGTCTACCTTCAAATGAACATTTAATAATTTGGAAAGGGAGTTCCAGGTGGCTTGCAGTAATTGGTTGCACTCTTGAAAGAGGCAGGGTTTCAATGTTCCCATAGTCTGCATAGAGCACTTTCACATCAGAGCCGGATGTCTCCAAAACAACTGCACGGTACCAGAAATCATCACCTGAAAACAGAATGGAATCTTAGCTAAGAAGTTACTGTTAATGACCCCATACCTTAAGACAGTGACTCATAAGGTACATTTATGTAATTTGAATTCATGCCAAAAATTTTGGTTAGGAGTCTAGATTTATCTCTATTTCTTTAAAATCCTACTAAAGAGACAGTATAACAGGGTTCTTTTTAGTAAAACAAGGCTGACAACCAAGTGAAAAGGCCATGTAATACTGGAAAGCTGGAAAACAGACGCATGAATGGAAATGATGTAGCACAGCCAAAGCAATTCAACGAAAGCTAGCAGTGGGGAGGACAAGCAGCACCATTTCCACCTCAAACCCCAGCCCCCAAGCTCAGTAACTGGTGTTGCTCATTCAAAAGCAGAAGTAAAGATGGAACTGGAAATAAGAATTGGCTAAGGAAGCGGAGTTACTTCCCAAGACATTAGAAGCTTCCCGATATAGACTTTAATTCATAGGTACATTTAAAAATAATACCGATTTTTTAAGTTGGTAAAGAGAATGGTAAGCTTTATGTTCAGCCTATTTCGGTACAGCCTAACATGCCTTCCCTCTCTCCAGACAACCATCCCTACCAGAGAGGAGGAGAGGAGCACTTCCTTCTGCAGGCAGACTGGACCAAGGAATGTGAGGCTACGAAAAGGAGAAGGGTTTACCCAGAGCACCATCAGGCAAGCTGTGCACTGCAGGCAGGAGCCAGCCATCCCAGCTGAGAGCGCTGAGGAGGTCCGGCCACACTGCTACTGCCCAGGGAGAGGGCAGAGCCAGAGCACCCTGCACAGAAGGCCAAGTCCTGCCGCACAGACTTCCAAGTAACTCATCAGGGCCCACCTTATACAGGTGAGCAGTAAAGGATTGCCAGCTATTTGAGAAAAGCCTCTAATGTGCCAGAGGAGACTAAGATAAAAAAACAGGACCTAGGAAAACAGAGACAAAGAAAATTTTAAAAAATCACAGTAACTACCCTTGGAGAAGTAACAAAACCATTCTTGAAACAAGAACAGTATAGTATTAGAACACACACACACACACACACACACATATATAAATTTTTTAAAGCTACTGTAAAAATGCAGCACTGGAAAGGAAAACTTCAAAGAGAAAAACTGGAAGATGAAATTGAAGAATTCCCTTGACAAAGAAAATAAACAAAAAAAGTGAAATTTAGTAGAACAGTGAGAGTTCAACATTAGAAGACTTGGAGTTCGTAAAACAGAAAACGAAAGAAATAAAACTCAGGAAAATTTCTCAAAACTGAAATTTCTGGATTTAAGGATCCACTCACTCAGTGCTCAGCACAATGATAAAAAGAAAGCAACCATATGAAGTTACACTATAAACTTCAAGATATGGAATGAACAGGATACCAAAGTTTCAGAAAGGACACACAAAAAAATATGTACAAAGTTTGGAGAATCTGGGATGATGTCTTGTCTTCCAACCAGAAGCACCAACAGCTAAAATGCAACAAAAGCAATGCCTGCAAAATTGTAAAGAGAAAATGACTTCCAACTACAATTCTACACCCAGGCAAACTATCAATTAACTATTACGGTACAATAAAGGCTTTTTCAAACACAATGAAAAGATGGAAATAAACTGTTTGTAGATGGGGAGGGGAGGAAGGGGTGAAGGGAGGGCAGGGACAAGGGGAAAAATGAGAACCAAGACCTGTCATGTAGAGGTACAAGATCCCAACAATGAATGTAACTGTACTGTCTACCTAAAATGTACCAATAAACTCAATTAAAGCTGAAAAAAAAAGTAACAGAAAAGTTATCTTAACATGAACCCTTTCCCAGCTTCTACAGGATAGGATCCACTCAAAAACTAGAGTAAAGCAAAGTGAAAGTGAAAGAAAAGATGAGATGAGGGAGAGAGGCATCTGGCTAACTAGGTGGAGAAAGAAAAATTCAGTCAACAGAGAGCAACAGGGCTGGAACAGTGCTCAGCATGATGATGAAGGATGAGAGTCCCAGGTCCAGACAAAGAGTCTGGACAGAAGCAGGGCTGAAGGCTGAAGATGCCTCCAGTACGAATAAGTACACAAAAATTTCTTTGAGGGCACAGAGAACTGCAGATAATTAGTGAGTGAAATAATACAGAACATTAACAACAGAAAGAAATTAAGTAACAGTATTCTACCCTGCCGGACTCCGAGTTGTGTTTATGCAGTCCTCGTAAAGCGCTACAGGGCAGGGTATGTACCTAACCAAAACTCACTGCTTCTTTTGGGAAGAAAATGAGAGGAAGTACAGACCCAGTTGTCACAGATAAAAACAATACAACCAGGAGTGACATCAGCAAGATGGAGGAGGTCCCCAGCTTGTATGGCTCCCCCACCCCCACCAAAAGAACAATTTGGCAGCTGCCCACGGACAACAGTACATGTGTGGGAGCTATGGGATTGGGGGAGGTGGTTTCAAATCCCCAGGAGCCCAAGACTGTGGAGGGCTGCTTGGGAAGGCAGCCCGAACCTCAGGGTCAGACTCCCCTCGTTCAGTGCTGGCTACTGGTTGGAAGCAGTACTGTCCCTCTGTGGCAGCAGCTCTAGTGTTGCTTGGCTGCTGTCTTTCCACCAGCTCCATCTTTCCAGGAACTGGCAGGAGCCATGCTCAACTGTGACCTACTAAGAGGCTTGCCAAACTGGACCCAACTGTTGACAAGGACGTGTGTGACCCTGTGTACTACGTGGCAACAGCCCCCCACCCCATTTTCCTCAGGCTCAGAAACAAGGCAGAATATTCATTGCAAGCGTTATTTACATTAGCAAAGGAAATGTGTTACCCTAAAATACCGAACAGGAGAATGGTTAGAGTAGGCCCTAAGCACTGGCTGGACCCCGAGGCAGTTTTCGTTCCCTTTCCTCCCTCCCTCCCTCCCCCTAGTAGGAGGTACTGAACCCAGGGGCTTTGCACTGAGCTACATACTCAGCCCTTTTTAATTTTTTATTTCTTCTGAGACAGAGTCTTGCTAAGTCACTAGATCTCCTGAGACTTGGATCCTACCTCAGCTTTCCAGAGTGTGGGGATTACTGTCATGTGCCAGCACAGCTGGCTAATGTTTCAGTCCTTGCATGTTTCTGTTTTGTTTGGGTTTGGGTTTTTGTTATTTGCAGGGCTGGGGAATGTACCCAGGACCTCGACCGACCGTACTAGACAAAGGCTCTACCATCAAGATACACTTCCTATTGTTCTTTCAGGATATTCACAAACACAGCTCTATAAACACGGAAGGATTGGAAATCATTCAATGTTACTGATCTATCATAATACAGCATGGTTGCCTGGAGCTGGTTATCTGTAAGTACTGACGGATCTGTCGGAATCTACTGACATCCTTGTCCAAAAATGATGCAAACAGAAAATCTCAATGACAGTAAAATATGAATTATGCTCACAACTTTGCCTTTCTTCTCTACCTAATCAAATGAAATATGCATCCAACATAAAAACCTATACAATGTCATGTAAAAGAGAATGAAGTAATTTCCCCTTAATATTGTGCCTAAAAGAAACTTACTTGTGTATTTGGCACAGCACGCATCTCCAACTCTTGGTCTACAAGACGGCTGAGTTTTTTGAGCATTGCAATATTCTAAGAGTTCAGCTGTCAACGTAGACAATTTTTCTTGATTTTCTAAAATAGATAAGTGCAACCTTTTGTGAAAGAATTTCCAATGCTAGTATTAACAGTATACAAAATATTGTCAAAACTCATCACTCAAAACCCCCTTGAATATTAAAATATACATTGTATTTTTAAAATATACCCACTATTTGGCTGCTTTTTGCAGAAAAGGAAGTAAAACTTGGAAGAGGCACGAAGGAAGCCTCTGGTGGGACAATTTTTAAGTAGCCAATGTGGCTTTGCTAATGTGTTCATTCTATCAACTTATTAAGCTGTATTTTCATGATGGTTTGGCATACTCAGTGTGTTGCACCTAAATAAAAACTATCCTAATATTACTTCCCATTCAACAGTCCTTAAGTTATCAGATTTAATAACCCTGAATAACTACTTTTTGCTGTACATATTAAATATGATTTTTTTGGTAACACTGGAGATAAGTTTAAAAGCAGTTAATTGGTCTCACCACAATTCTAGGTTTGACAATTTGAATCAAAGGTTCCTTTTGTTCAGCTTTGAAGAACCTGCAAATCATTTCAAATAGGCACCACCAACTTCACCTAATTCATAGCCTCATCTACATTTAAGTTTCCTTGATTGTACACGTTCATGAAACAAAAAAAGGTAAACTAAAAGTCAACTTTATGTACTACTTTGTTCATGATTATAGCCAAGGTAAAACACTTGTAAGATTCTAGGATATGGTAAAACTATGATTATGAACTGATTAATATGAACATCAATATGTCTGAAATAGTTTGAAGTGGTTCAAACTCAAATGGTTGAGGTTAATATAGTAAATACAATTCGATATAGATAATATGTGTGGGGAACTAGGAATTACATGGTACTTAAGGACATTAGTTTTGTTATAAAAAGCTGTAGATTATTACACTAGGCTACTGAATAGATGCTGAATGTAGGACATTCCCTTTATGTTCCCATTTGGGTTTTTACAACTGAATTTGCCTTGAGTGTTATGATCCTTAAGTATAATGTCCTTCAAAATCATCACCCTCTTCTCCCTTTCACTTCCTAGGGAGATCACAGTAAGCACTTTCAGTACCCAGTTTAAAAGAGGAAAATAAGGTGTTTTGATGTTTGCTCCTTACCTGGCATGTCATTTGGGATAGCATAAAACAAGTTAGGGTTTATGATTTCTAATATGCTTGCTTGCACAGTTTTATTAACTGGCAGTTCTATCGTCTTCCATTGTTCTGCTGAAGAGAAGGCTGAAGACATACGAAACAGTTCTTGCGTTAAATAGAAAAAAATCTATTGAAGAATTTCCAGTAATATATTTATGCACAATTTGTTCCTCAACTATCAACATTTCCAAATTGTCACAATGAAAGCTGTATTTCACAGAACAATCTATATTCAATTTGGGGGATTACGTAGGCATTACAAAAAAGTTTAGTCTATGACAAGCCTTAAACTATTATATCCCTACAGCATATTTCTGTAGTACAGTTCCATTTCTGTGTATATCTAGTGAAATTTTTCAAAATTATAGAAAGCTTAAGGGATATATATCTGTACAATGTACGTTTAACTTGCTAACGAAAATTAAAATTAGTACAATGTTGGTTCAATAAAAAAACTGTTTCAGTATTAACTTTAATAATTATTAAATCTATGCCTACAATGCAAATATCTATAGGAAAATTATTTCACTTAGGATAGAAAAATTCTCAGACTAAAAGCAAAGGCTAACACACATTTAAACAAGTGGTTCAACGTGTTACCTTTAAGCCCCTGGGTGTCAGTTTCATGACTGTGTTTATTAACAGGTTTATTGCTTGGCAAATCCTTAGTTGGAGAACCAGCTTTTAAAACAAGATTTTCACTAATCAGAACATCACTAATTATTCTGGGATATGAAGTGGAAAGGTCAGTGAGTTCAACTCCCACTCCCTTTTCAGTGATTTCAACAACTCTGGCTTGGAGTTTTATCCCTGTAATACACATCTGAAATCTTGCTATGGCTTCTTTAGTCCAGTATTTGTTTCTAGGCTGTATATCTGGAAAAGAGAACAGAATAGCATCAAAAATAGCCCTTGGCACAAGCTGAAGTTTTGCTTCTACAGAATCCAGGACTGGGTCCTTGCCAAGTTACCCATTCAGTTCAGCAATCTTGAATAATTTGTAATAATCCTCACACTCACACACACATACACACACACACACACACACATATCTACATTCTTCATGGTTAAATTACAGATAATGCATCCTCTAACACACTAGGGCTTTAGAAGGCTCCAAATCTTCCTTTACTTTCCCCAGTAATAAATGGTTACCTGGCACTTTTCCAATAGGTTAAAATGAGTGTTCTTTCAGGATCCACCATCATGTTGTTACATAACATACACAATGATGAGTTACCCTAAGATCTCAACTGATATACTTTCACTTGTGTGCAATTTCTGAAGATTAAGTTCACAGTCTCATTTAAAATTACTTATTATTTTTCTTAGTGACTTTAGCTTACACTCTTTTTCTTTCTAGATGGTGTTGCCCGTGCTGGTCTCTAACTCCTGAGCTCAAGTGAGACTTCCACCTCACTTGCAGAATAGCTGGGAGTACCTGCTTTGCTCTCGTTTTCTTCAACAGTGACTCTCAACCTTGAGCAAGCATCTGATTCACCTAGAGGACTTGTGAAAACACAGATTTCCAGGCCCCACCCCGAAGTTTCTAATTTAGTAGGTCTAGGGAACATATTTTAAGAAGCTTGAAACTTGGTAATAAAATAGTCTGAAACGTGTATCTAATAAAATAAGTACAACAGATGGGTACCAGAAAAAAAGGAACACGTATGCTTCCCAGTACGTCCATGATTAAGGTTTTGGAATCCAACCTTCCACAATTTTCTTTTAAGAGCCAGGGTCTTGTTGTGTTGCCTAGCCTGGCCTCAACCTCCTGAGCTCAAGTGATCCTCCTGCCTTAGCCTCTTGAGTAGCTGGACTACAGGTTCATGCCACCATATCCAGCTGCTACCACAGATATTATGTGCACGTGAAATACACAGATATGCACAAGGTGTGCTCACAAAGTACAACGCTTTAAATTTTTAGAATTATTACAACAGAAGACACACTGTCATCAATCCTCCGTGAAACACTCCCCCTTGCTGTGAACGCGCTCATCTCTTCCTTCTTGCTGCTTCCTGAAGCAGCTCTAGAAGATCTCTTTCTGGAGTGTCTGGTTGTGCTGCTGTGGCTCAGGACCCAATGTCCCGAGTCGATTCAAAATGTTTACACCTTTCACAGTCATTTTGACTTGGGAGAAGAGCTACAAGTCACACAGTGTCAGATCCTGTGAATAAGGGAGATGAAGAAATACCACAATATTTTTATAGGTCTATCTTTCAGTTAGTGGGCACTCACCAACAACAGTCACAGTAATTTTAATCACACCTCATACAGATACAAAAGATGAACTACTTCAGAATATGTTAAAAACAGTGGGATGGACAAGTGTGTTTAAAGTGAGGGATGGTATTATGAGGGGGATTACTGGCAATGTTTTTACTGTTTAAAAAGAACCCTTTTAAGCCAGGCGTGGTGGCACATGCCTGTAATCTCAGCACTTGGGAGGCTGAGGCAGGAGGATCGCTGTGAGTTGGAGACCAGCCTGGGCTAGTGAGTTTCAGGTCAGTCTCAACTACATAGTGAGACCCTGTCTCAAAAACAAAAACATAATTAAAAATAAAAAGAACCCTTTAAATTTTAAACATTCACTTAATTTTGTGATAACCCCTTGTATACATGTTCTCTAAAAGATTTGTAATATCAGCTATTCCAGGTATAATATCAAGCACTGTTAAATGCTCTGTATTTTTCTCACTTTTATTCTAAACAGCTTTTTGAGGAAGGTACCAAAGAAATGAAAGCAGAGAATGTTTACATAGTTTGCCCAAATATCTTAGTAGCAGCAGAGTGGCTCTAGAATCATTTTCTGTTTTACACTGCTATCATTCATCTCTTTTCTAACATGTTTTCTTCCCTTAAATCACAAATAGCTATTCCTATCACTAACACCCATGTAACATCATTTTGATGTCATAACAGTGTCATAACAGCAAACACACAAATAGAACTTTGAGTGCCAGACCCTGTTCTAACCATTATTCTAATCTTCACAACGCCTGATGAAATAGGCACTATCCATAATATGGGTCATCACTGAACCGATCCTTACACTTAAAGTTGTTTTTTAGTTGCTAACAACAAAGTAATGCATTTCACTGTAGCTGAACTGTTTTCAGATGGCTTTGGCGTAAATTACTAGAAGTAAAATTGCTAAGTTCGAAGGTATGACTATTAGAGGCTCTTAAAGAATTCTGCAAAATGCTTTCAAGAAGGTGGCATCATTTATTCCCATCAACAGAGAAAAGCAGATTCTTCCTTTCCCTGAGTACTGAATATTATTCAAATAAAATGTGAAAATTATAAATGATAACACTTGATGAGTATGTGCTTAGTAAAAACAGTTGAGAAAACTTATTCTGTACCATACCTACTAACCAGCACTGTATCCCTTGAAATGGAAATTTTAAAAATTTTGATGATATCATTTGAAGTTCATCCGTAGTAACTTCTTCAACATTTCCATAATCCACAAAATGTACTTTAACATTTCCACTTGGTAAGATTTCCTTGACTAAAGCACGATACCAGTTACCATCACCTAGATTTAACACAGGATTTGTGAGACAGAACGTTTACCTTCCATTATTATGTGAAATTTTTATCTTGGGGTAAAAACAATCTTCAACTAAAAAGATAATAAATTTGCTCTCTTCCCCAGTTTATGCCTTTAGTTTTTCAATCAAAAATCCCTAGATCAAGATTTTTCAAAATCTCACTTTTAGAATATCTCTGAATTTTTTTATAATACCACACTTTTGTACCTATATGAATTACAATGGTATATCTCAGTTCATGAATTTAATTTGTTCTATGATTTTGGAAAAGATGGCCACTTATGTTTGTGTGGGAAAGATGGCAACACAAGCGTTTGTCTTCCAGTGCAAAGTCTGCAAACAAAAAATTTCACCAAATGCTTCTGTTTGTGAATCAAATTGTGTGCAAATAGAAGTATTCGTGAACTGAGACACCCCTGTAATTTCAGGGTTAAAGATGTATCTCAGTAGTAGAGTGGTTGCCTAGTATGTGAGAGGCCCTAAGTTCGATCATCAGACCTAAAAAAAAAAAAAAAAATTGCACTGCTCTTAACTACTAATGGCTTAGATTCACTTTCTTGTTACTTGGTAAACTGGAATGAAAAATAAATTGCAGGGCACATGCCTGCAATCCCAGCACTCAGGAGGCTGAGACAGGAGAAGTTCCAGGCCAGCCTGTGCTACATAGTGAGCTCAAAGTTAGACTGAACTCCAAAGTGAGACCCTGTCTCAAAAAACCAAACAAAACAAACAAATGCAATGAAACTCACAAATTGAACAAACAGTTCTCAAAATTAACATGCATAGGGTGACCAGAAAAAACAAAGACTCTGAAGTGAATAACTCTTCCATTACCTAATTTAATGTTATAAATTTTGAAAAAGAAAAAAAATCATTAAAATAACGTTTAATAAAATTTAGACAAGAATTTACTATTTCAAGGTTCTCTGTTAAAAAAGAAACAATGACATCTTAATCATTCATTTACTCTTCGCTATGAAAACTATGTGCTTACATATTGGGTAGAAATAAGGGTAGAATGTCAAGAGAAAACAGGTTTTAATGTCACAATGACACCGACTGCAACCTACCTGCAAAAAAAGCACAACACGGTTGCCCTATTTCGACCTTAAATCCATTATGTAACTTCTGTTGGCAATATTCTGCTAATGATTTATTCAAATCACTGAGCTTCTCCAAAGCTGAAAAAACACATACAGGATTTACTATTAAGAACAAATACCAAACACAGATTTTCCTTAAAGTCAGAAAACATTATGATTATAAAAATCTCACAGGGCCAGGGATTTAGCTCAGCAGGGCCATGCCTGCCTCACAACCACAAGGTCCTGAGTTCAACCCCTGGTACAAAAAAAAAAAAAAAAACATCTCACATACACACTGAAACACCCATGAAATACACTGAATGCTTTTCCTGACCTAAAAATTACCAGGCAAATAAGTTTTTATTTAATTAATACTCTCAATCAACCCATTACCAAGGATTTAGTGGGCATGGATACATGGGTGTGGCATTATCATCAGTATACCAGGAAACACTATACAAACACACACAAACAGTTAGATAAAAGCTGTCCTGAAAGAGAAACGTGATTACTAAAATGGATGGCATAGATAATAGATGATGGGGAAATTTAGAAAGCTTATGAGCTCTGCTTGCTGGAGGTTTCACAGAGGAATCTGAAGTATAATTTGACAGAAAGGAGACGGTAATCCAAATGGAAGAAGTGACTCAAACACATCACACAATTACCAAATTAGGCAGCCAACAATTACTTAGTAGGGAAGAGCTGGGCAAAGCATAGAAGTGGAAAGGTGAACCATGCAGAGGAATAGCAGAGGGGTTTTGGGAAAGATACGGTCTATGAAGTACTTTAGGATGCAAGGTAAAGGGATTTGAGCCACTATACAAGTAAAAGACAAGTCAACATCTCTTATTAAACACTAATAGTGGCTCAAGTCACAGAAATGAGAATTTTAATGAGTCAAAATTTTTGCCTTTCAGATTAGAAATAAAAGAAGCATAAAGACATGCTTTTGGAAATGGTGTAGAACAAGGCGCTCTCATGCACTGTTGCTGGGGGTTTTCTTGGTCAGCCTTTGGAAGGATATTGGCACAAGAACATGTTATCCTCTGGCCTAATAACTGCAATTTAGGAATGTGTCTCAAGGTTGTAATCTCAGAGTTAAATCACAGAGTACATGGACTGTTGAGTAATGAAAGCTTGGAACCTAGTACTAATCCTTTATCCAAACCTAGGTTAATTGAACAAGAATAAACCCACACAATAGAATAGCTTATGTTATGGCTTATATCTAGATGCCCCCTCAAAGCCTCATGTACTCATAGGTGGGGCTTTTATGAGTGACTAGATCATGAGTGTGATACTTGATTAGTCACCAATTGGTTTAGCATAGTTCTGGGTGTGGATACATTACTAAAGAGGGAAGACCCACCCTGTGTGTGAGTGGCACCAACTAATACAGCCTTGAAGCTTAGACAGCATAAAAAAAGGAAAGAAAAAGAAAGGCTCTCTGCTTCCTGTGTGGCATGCCCCTCTGCCATGCTGCATCACCCTGGATCCAGCCAACGAGGGAATGAAACCTCTAAAAACTGTAAGCCAAAACAAACCTTTCTTCATTTAAATTATGGGTGTCTAGGGTTGGGAATTTAGCTCAGTGGCCCTGCACCTGCCTCACAAGCACAAGGTCCTGAATTCAATCACGAATACAATAAAAGAAAAGGGTGTCTGTTACTGTGTCTCAATAATGGGAACATAGCTAAGACACCGTGTAACCATGACAATAAATAGAATGAGGACTACACAATAATGTGGTATCCAACCCTGGATCACAGAATAGAAACAGGACATCAGGAGAAAATCTAGCAACATCAAAGTCAAGTCTGGATTTCTGCTACTAATAATATAATACTGTTGGTCTCTTGTAACAAATGCACCATGATTATATAACATGTCAACTATAGAGAAAGCTAAGTGAAGGGTGTACAGCCTTCATACCATCTCAGCAACTTCTCTGTGCATCTAAAATTATTCCAAAATTTTAAAAACATTTTTAAAAATGAATGGAGAAAACACTATGTTAACTGACGCCCAAAATAGTGGGAGATAAAGTACAAAAATTATTTACAGTATTTTAACACTCGATACATAAAAAAGGATCATATATATTCATACAAGCATATGTATACAGTACTTCTGAAAGATATTTAGAAAATTGAGAAGAGGAACTGGGAAACTTTCTGCTATATTCTCTTCCACAACTTTTGAATTTTGAACCACCTCTGAAAATAAATAAAAAGGAAATGTAAAAATTCTGATTTTATTTATATTGAATATATTAATATATCATATTAAATAATGGCCCACCTGAAAAATCTCACAACCTGACAGTCAAGCTGGACTTAGTTATATAGTTTAATGTCCTCATTCTACAGAAATAAAAACTAAGATTCAGAAAAGTTAAAATCAGTGATGCTCACCAGAATGGCTCAAACGAAAAACAATACAAATGTTTGTGAGGATACATTGCAGTAAGAATTTTCAAACTGACAATTGTCATAATCTCTTAGAAACTGGCATTCACTGATTGAGCTGAAAATACATACACACTCTTTATGATGTCATAATTTCATTCCAAGGTATAGACTCAATGGAAATGAATTATCTAACTTGTATAATATTAACACTAGCATCACCAACATAATTTTTATAGCCCCCAACTAGAAATAAGCCAAATGTCCAGTGGTAGACAGGAATAATGGACTCACAACAGAACACTTTGTAGAACAAGTAAGTTATAGCTACAGGTAGCAATTTCACAAGGTGAAAAACAGCACGAAGGTAAAGAAAAATATAGATTGTATGATTCCACTTATGTAAAGTTCAAAACCAGAAAAAGAAATCTGTGCTATAAGAAAGTGAAACAGTATTTCTTTCTTAGAGAAGAGAAGCAGTAATTACAGGAGCTAACCTGAAAAAACTTCTGATACTGATAACATTTAATTTCTCGACCTAGAGGCTTGTTATATAATCAATAAGGCTGTGTTGACCTTGCGATTATTCATTATGCTGTACTTGTATTTGAGAACTCATCTAAATGTATGTAATACACCAATGAAGTCAACAATTAAATTTCCAAAAATGAATTTAGGAGACAGCCTATGAAATCTAAACTGTTTTAAATAGGAAGAGAAATATGAAATGTTTCTAAATGTGAAAATAGAAATAATGGCTAAAGACAGAATAAAGGCTAAGTATAACTAAATTTTTTTGGGAAATACAGACATTCATTTGGCCCTTCTAGTCCTTTTATTACTCACTGTTATAGCTTGTGTCAGATGCCCCCATCCCTAAAATTCATGCAGGGCTTTTCAGAGGTGGCTAGAGCTAGAGTGTGTGATACTGGGATTAAGTGGGATTAAGTGATGCTGGGATCAAGGATGTGTGATTACTAAATTAGTCCACTGATTGGTTTTGCATAGTTCTGGGTGTGGATAACTGAAGGCCCACCCTGGGTGTAACTGATACTGCCCTAGGGCATGTAGCCTGGAGAGAATATGAGGGACAGAAAGAAGGCTGCTGTTGTTGCTTGCTACTTCACTACTTTGCTGCTTACTGTCTTGCTGCATTCTGCCTGCCATGAACTGTTTCTCCTCTGCCATACCACCCCGACTTGGAGTCAGCCAAGTATGACTGAAACCTCTACTAACTGTGAGCTATAATAAACCTCTCCCATTAGTTTGGCTGTTGGGTATTTTGTATCAGCGAAGAGAAAAGTAACTACAATGCTAACAAATACGTCTTAAATTATTACCTATGCCCATATATTTGCAAAAAAGAAATACGTAAGTCAACTTACCATTCTCTTTAAGGATATGGCAATAAAATTCTCCAGGATTATACATCATGCAGACCACAACATCTACTGTTTGGTCAATAGCAAGTTCAACCCATGTCCACTCCAATGGACTTACTTTTCCTTTTGCAGTCAAGGGAACTGTGAAAATAAACATATTGCATAACAAATGGATAGAGTATGGGGAGGCTCTGGTAGGGGGTGGGTTGCTAATGAATCTACTTTGGAAGACCCAAATGACTTCTAACATTCTGAGTAACTTTATAGGAAAGTTGACCTTAAAAATCAGTTTTAACAATCAGTCATTTTTTCCTCACTGAATTTCAAATTCAAATTTCTGATCAGTCTTCAGCTGCCAGTGACCCATAAAACTTTCAACAAAAAATTCAGTTTTCAAACATTCTCTTAAACCTATTTAGATGAATGTTTGATTTTAAAAGACAAAAGGGCACTCAACATCAATTCTTTTGAAAGCTGTTGGAACCCACACATTTACAGAACCATCTGAACTCCAGTGTAGACATTATCTAGCAGATGATTTACTTACCACTGGGTTTATCTGTTACGATCTCCTTTTCATCTACAGCAAAGCCTGCATCTATGAGAACTTTAGCAACACTGACAACAGGCGTCACAGATTTGTCTGTAAGTTCCACCAGGCAGCTGTTTTCCAACTTGTCCACCACTTTCACCATGACCATTTTGTTCTGCACAATTTTTTTCATGAGACAAACAGCCTCTGGAGTCCAAATTCCTAATGATGGCTTTACTCCTAACAAAGAATTTTTTAAAGAATATTAAAGTAATTCCTAAAACAAGTATTTTGACACACAGCTCCTGATTTCCACAAAGTTAAACTTAAAACTGTGCCAAATACCAGAACCAAAAAGTCTCTCCTCAAGAAAGTTTTTCTAAAAATTAAAATGAATACAGAATAAAGAAAATGCCTGCAAAATGTTTTTACACTTCTATTTTTAAAAAAATCACAATGCCACTGATAGAAAATGTGTAGTAAAGCAAATGTATAATATACTACTTGCTGCTTGGGGAGCAGTTTATTCATAAACTAGGTATAAGAGATCTCACTGGACTGACTGAAATATTCTAAAACTGGATCATGATGATGGCGTACAACCCAGTAAATTTACTAAAAAGTACGGACCTATATATTCAAAACAGTAACTTTTAGAGTGTATAAATTATAACTCAATAAAATTGTTAAGAAAATAATAAAGTATAAAACAAACCAGAAGAAAAGCTAGTCTCTTCACTAACACATAGCACATATTTGTGGCACAAATGGTACTGAAAGAGAATTTAACAAATCAACAATCCCAAGGTTATACCTAAGTCAGATCGTTAAATGTATGATCCAAATAATTTACAAAACATGTTCAGACTCTAGTAATGAAGCAAACTGAAATAACTGAGGTTTTGCCTTATCAACAGTGGCCAAGATGAAAAAATAGCTCCCTGGTATAAGAATGTATCAAGAAGTTCACTCCCTCATACTTTTCTTGTGAGCATAAAAACTGATGCAACTCTTTCCAGAGGACAATGAAGAACACAAATCAAATATGAAAAGCCGAGGATTCACTGACACCTACATCTTGCCACACAGCCTAAGGAAACGACCTTGGATATGTGGCAAAATGTAGTTAAAATGATGCTAACAGCAAAAAATTGGGACTATCTTTCTGATGCTAGGTACTAGTTAAAATGATACATTTGAATAAAGACTGCTGAAGGCCATCTATTGATGTGGAAAGCAAGCCCTGATCCTGGTGAGACAAATTATGTGCATGATAATTTCTAAACACATGATCATATATTATTGTTTTGTCAAGCAGGTTTTCACTGCCTCATGCATTTTTTTCATATTTCAATTTTCAATTTAGGTTTTAATATTTTAATGACAGTGGGATGATAAAAATTTCATACCTGCCAGCGTACACTTGACAGCCTGCATTGGCAATTCCAACAACTTTGGAATTATGGGACAAAGTCTTGTCAAACTAAGGATCTCAAAGTTTCCATAATCAACATATCCAACCAGTACAGATTCTTCAGAAGCATAGGCCAAAACAGAGGCACGATACCACTGCTCATCCTCTGAAACAAAGACGACTCAATTATCAAATGACTTTTTTCCATCAAGGTGAACAATGACAAAATTAGATGATCATTTCTCGATTTTTACCTTAAAAACTGTCAAATTTTGCTAAACACACATACTTACTAAATACTGCACATTCTGCTGACCTAAAGCCTTCAATTCTTAAAATGTAATCTTTATTAGCGTCCTAATTATGTCAGAGGCTGTCATTATTAATTTGTATGCCTTGTCTCTCTAGTAGATGGCTGGCTCAGCAGGGCAGAGAATATGTGTGAATCCCCAAGGTCCGGATCAATACGTGAACCATTTGCATCCAGCAGGGCCACTCCTAGAACAGCAGCAGTATGAGTCAACCGGACTCCTCCAGCCAAGCGATGGACATACTAGGGCCTATTTGTTACTTGTCATCCCTTCGGCACAGAGTAACAGAAACTGGCAATCACAAGGTGGGTCTGTGCAGCTACAAAGACTGCACTACTACATCACTAACCTCCCAGGACCTCCAGTTTTTCCATTAATCTGGGGAAGATATAAACCTAGAGGTTCTTTAGCTGGTGTTTATGTAAACAGGAATTATCTATACCAATCTCTGAACACTAAAGGACTGAAAGAAAAAAAAAAAAAACAATACCGCCTATATTATCCCCACTCTCTTGACACCTCAGGCTATCCTTATACATATCATACATTCCTTTGATCCAGTTTAACTAGACATATTTAAAAAGACAAATGGTTCACCTAAAGGCACAAGCTTCACTGTATCCATTCAGTGCGCCAAGGACTCTGTCTCATTTTCACTCAGCTCTAAGTTAAACACTACAATATTTTTTTACTTACCTGAGAACCGAGCACAACATATATCACCGATGGTTGGAAAGAAGTCAGACTGTGAACACATCTGACCACAGTACTCACTAAGGGATGTCTGAAGCTCAGCAAGCTTACCTGTGGATACAGATCACATTTAAAAAAAAAGGAATACATCTCTGCTTTATCTTTAGTTTTGCATGTTGAGTCTTGATGTTACTGTGATAAAATAAATTAAGACAATTCACTCACGGCCACTCTGCAGTTGTTGGCAAAAGAAGTCCCCTGGTGTCTGAATGTGAGCAACCATGCCACAAAACTCGTCGCCTACATTCAAAGTTAGCACTTTGGGGATTAGGTCATTTCTGTCTACAACAATTTTGTTTTCAGCAGTCATCAGTCCACCATCTGCAGGATCACCTTATCCACAAAGAGAAAAATAAGTTATTTTGGTTTTAAAAATCAGGCAGTACATTTTTTAAAAATCAGGCAAACTTTGTTCATTTTGAAAAAGAGAATGTGAGTATGATTAGGCAAAATTCCTAGAAGACGGCAGTCTGAGATGAAGTCAGTTTTCTATCTCACCAAAGGCCAGAGTGGCCCTAAGACAGACCAGTAGTACAAAACAAATCAAATTTAATTAAGAAGTTGTATATTAGAATCTTTAGTCTCTAAAAGAGTTCCAGGAAACATAATTTGGGATACATAACCTCAGATGATCCTGAAATAAAAATACATCAGAATAGGACCCATTCTACAGTAAAATGATAAATCCCCTAAGAATAAAATTTATCGAAATAAAATAATAAATTGAACTAGAAACACAATTTTCAAGCCAGGCATGGTGGTGCACACCTGTAATTCCAGCACTCTGGGAGGCTGACACAGGAATATCAAAAGTTTCAGCCCAGTCTGGGGATGTAGCTCAGTGGTTCCGCCACCTGCCTTGCAAGCACAAGGACCTGAGTTCAATCCCTGGTACCAAAAAATAAAAAAGATAATAAAAATGGGCCAGGAATGTAGTTGAGTATGAAGACCCCGATTCAATTCCCAGTATTGAAAAAAAAAAAAAAAAAAAAACCAAGCCATAAACAAACACACAAAAATACTCACAATTTTTTCACAATTAAAAAACGTTATTACACAAAAACAACAAAAGAGGAGGACAAGCAACGTAAGTACTAAGAGAAAAAAAGAAAACCAGGACTGACATGAGTCTGATGGAGAAAGGGCTTCAGCACCAAAAAGCATCTCAGAACAACAAAATTCACAGCAACAAAAAGCCCATGGCTTAAAAAGTTCCACACTCTCAACTAATGTGTTTTTAGGGTTTTAAGATTTAAGAGGCATCAAAACATCCACATACCCAAATTTACAAAAACTACTGCTTTAAGGAGCTAAAGATATTCAGATAAAACTAAAGTCTACATCACTTTTTAAAACTCAGAAATGTGACAAAACAGATATTCTAAAGTACTATAATATAAAATTATTAAAGAAAATGACCCGCATTATGAACCTATGTAGCCTGACTCTTTCGAAGACCACAGGAAAATGAACACGCAGCACAGAAGTGGAGGGAATTTGTCACTTACAAATGACGTCTCAGAGTACATTACAAGGGATTCTTGATGTCAGAAACCCCACTGAAATGGGATAACTGACCCCAAACAGCAGCCAATGTAAATTCAACAATCCCAAATATAAAACATAAAGAAAAAGAAACTAAAGGTCAAAAACATTTCTGAAATTCAATAGCAAGAAGAATGAACCACTTTCTTGTGTTTCACAGGAAAGGATGGATATAATGATGGAAAGAACACTAAACTGGAATAAGTGGCCTAGATTCTGATCCCCCACCCCAGTCTTAGAATAACCCACTGTACGTCAGCTTGTTTCTTCACATGTAAAAAGATGAAGCAGATTATCTCAATAGTCTTTCAGCTTCATGATTCCATCAGCAGATCAAGGGTTTTTGTGGTTTAAAAAAATTTATATATTGAACATCTAACGTACATCAGATGCCACGCTAAGCAAGGGGGAGAGATAGTTAAGTAAAAATCCATGGTTTTAGTTCCTATAAGTTCTAAATATTGTAGGAATGACAGATAATGTTTACATCAGGAGTCAAATATAAATATTTAAACAGAGGCTGACCCAGACTTGATTCTGTGATATGGTCACAGGCAGATTCTTAAGGTTTAATTTTCTTTTTTGAGACAGGGTCTCTTTATGCATCCAGCCTGGCCCTTGAACTCATTGTGTGACCCAGGCTGGCCTTGAACTCAAGGCAGTCCTCCGACTTCAATGCTTAAATTCTTCAAAAGATTTAACAGTATCTCATCGCTCCTCTTATCTCTCTACTTTCCTATACCCATAAACACTGCCTAAGTCCAAGGAGGGCCACGACTCCAGGAGCCTCTCACCCTTCCATTCTCTTATACCGGCTTCAGAATCAAGTCCAACTCCCTCAACACAGCTCCTGAGAACTTTTGTGATTTCTTCTAACTCACCTTGTAACCTTCTATTCCTTATTCTTCACCTGCCTTGGACAGTCAATCCAGCCATACCTATTTTTCAGACCTAATTATGCTCTTTTATATCTCAAGGCCTTAACACGTGTGCTTTGTCTTGCAACACGACTCTCCACCCTAGCACCTGCTATTTCCCGCTCAGTGTGAGCAACTCCAAGAAGGCTTCTCTCCAAGTCTTCGTTAGGTGCTTTTCCCCCTTCCAAGGGGAAATCCAGCACTTGCTGGGTTATGCTGTTACATAATCCCTTCTCTGCTGGCTGCACTGATCACACAACACCCTTCATGAAGCCACCTCCACAGGGCCTCAGAGAAGTAGACACTGTTCACTGGATTTCTTTGTTCCTTCTACTGGATACCCACAGAGTATATCACAGATGACTCTTCCTCTCATAAGCATTTACCCAGCTACTGTTTTGCCTAATTTCTTCCTACTTTTTCTTATCAAAGCTTCTTGTTCTATGTTGTGGACCCTAGGTTTACCTTTTTCATTATTCTTTCTCACTCGGCACCAACACAGTTTCAACCATGACTGCTGCTGGACACTGTTTTTCTCCTCCAGATGGCAAAGAACTACTGAAAGATTTTCAGCAGCGCTGCTTCACCAAGATTTGTGTTTCATGGATATCACAGAAAAGTACCATAAAAATACAGACTGGAGAGAAGAATTTACATCAGAAGGTTGTTTCAATTGTCCATGAATGATGAGGATTCCTGACACTAGGAAATGGTAGTAAGGGAAGAAAGAAAAAAGACATATACAAAGGGTATTTGGGAAGAAGAACCTATTTAATAAGAACTACACAGGGCAAGGGATGGGAGATAAGGGGGAAGGCAACACCTGAGTCACGGCATCGCCCCTGGATGCATGAACAAGAGACAATGAATTATAATCTATACCTCAAGTAATTAGCAAAGGAGCAAAATGAAGGTAGAAACATACTATGAAGACACACACAACTATGCAAAGCATAAAATATACCTGGGAAGGAAATAAACAGGCAGGGAAAACACATTAGAAATCATTAACTAGGTGTAGTGGCACACATCTGTAATCCCGGAACTCTGAAGTATGGAGTCAGAAGGATATCAAGTTCAAGCCTAGCCTGGTAAATATAAAGAGACCTGATTCAAAATTTAAAAATTAAAAAAAGATGGCTGGGATGACCCCAGGGTGAAGGCCCTGGGTTCAATCTTTAGTACTGTCCCCCACCAAAAAAGTAAAAGAAAAAGAATATATTACTAAATTTAAAAACCTCATCTTTCTTATAAAGTTTATAGAATAATTACTATTAAGTCGACGATATTACAGTCATGCCTTTTAACTCTTCACTCTCATAATTTAAGTCACTACTTTAATAGTAATCTGTTTACTCACTTTGATCTGTACATTGCTTCTTAGAATTTTGTCCTTTGGCCTTCAAACCATATCCCATTTCTACAAGCACATGGTCTAAGAATTCTCCTAAAAATTAAGAAAATATATCTTTATTGAAATACTTTACAAAAAAAAAACTTTACAAAGCACAGTAAGATTTAAATGAAAAAAAAATCACATAACTGAGATACTGTAGCTATTAATGTACTAGCATATACTGCAATATCAGTGACTATGGACAAAATATAGTTTAGTAATGAGCAGCTTTAAAAATTGAAGCAACAGTTCTGGGGATTTAGCTCAGTGGCACCATGCCTGCCTCACAAGTGCAAGGTCCCAAGTTCGATCCCTAGTACAAAAATACAAAAAAGCAAAACAAAAAACCCCGAAGTAATAAATAAATAAATAAAATTGAAGCAAAATTCCCCCAGTCACTTGACTGAAAACATGATGCTTCTGTTTCTCTTCAAAACTGTGAATGTGAAAGGTTCAGTTATCATACAAGCATTCTCAGAATAACCACCACTTACAAGAACAGATCAGTCTAAAACACAAGTCTCCATTTTTGTTAGACTGACTGAAATAAAGGTTAGTCAGCATTGACATGAACTTCAAGTTCTCTTAATATCCAAAATCTGGAATCAGTATGAAATATACTTAACAAAGAAACAAAACACATAAATTTCAGCATATCAACTATATTTCTGACAAGTCACCCATGATGCTAAAAGTAGAGGTGCAAGACCTTGGGAACCCAAAATTATACATACACTGCAAGAAGTTACTTTTCAAACAGATATGAATCCAGAATGGAAAGGCAGGATTCCAAAATGCTTCTGCTTCTACAGCTGAAAACACTACGGACTAACAAAATGCAGTTCTGTGGGAGCTGCTCAAAGAAAAACAATGATGATAAGCAATAAATGCAAGAATTTCTCTCAAAGGAGAAATCAGGAGTAAATATTACACTAACTATATTCTAAGGATACTGATACAGTTACATCTAAATCTAGCTGTTGAAGCCACTTAGTTCTATGAGTTTGTGCCATACAATTGACAAAAACTCCCAATCCAAAGCCTTGTTGTCAGTCAAAAGCTAAATGATTCTAGAAAGGACTTTAGTTGGCCTCCCTTATTTCTTCTCAAATAGTAGGTAAGGGAATAAAAAGGTATTAAGTATTTAATTTACAAAGAAAGACTCGGATCTTACCTGAGCTTTGCAGCACAACATCTACAGCACAGGTGACCCCTTCTTCTTTTAAGATGTCGACAATCTTTATAGAGCAGTACTGTTCCATCAACAGTGATTTAATAGTTTTGATACAATCATTGCTCCAAATACCCTCTGCTGGGATAACACCGGCCACAAAGCACTTTATGGCCTGAAATGTTGTGTGCAAGTTATTTGTGAGAATTAGTATTTAAAAATGAAATCTAATTAATTATGTGAAGTCTTTGAAAATAATCTACTTCATGCTAAAAATTTATGATGTCTTTGAGTACTAACCAGATAAACAATTTTAGGTTTGATTATTGTTGTCTCTCTTAATACATCATTCACAATGCTAACTTTGGGTACTTTAAGCTCAAGAAATTCATGCAAGGACAATCATTATACGTGATCTTGGTCAATTTCAAAATATGTAGAAATATACAGAAAAGAGCAGACTGAAGCAGAGTTACGGTGGTACGTACTTATAATCCCAGCAGCATGGGAGCAAGAAAAATGGCAAGTTTGAGCCAGTTTGGGCAACTTAGCTAGACTCTGTCTCGAAATAAGTGATAAAAAGGGCTGGAGATATGAAGGTTCTCATTTCAGTCAGTAGTAGATTGCTAAGTAGATCAATAAGATGTACCTAAATGTTAGTTTCTCAGCTGAGGTTCTTCTTAACTAAATAAGGGATAAAAGAAATGAAGTAGAGACAGCCAATGGTATTCATTCTCATGCTAAAAGATATGCCTATAGGCACAAAAACAAGGCAAAATACAAGAAAACATTGTGTTTGCCCATCAAACATTAAAAACGGGTACTTTGAGACACAGATAGGAATTATGAAGAAAAAGACTCACAGAAGGGGGAAATAATTCAATGTTTCTGTTTAGTTGGTAAATTCTGTTTACTGGAATTACTTCTTCATTTCCATAATCAATATACAAGACTTGTGCCATCTTCTTCAGCTCATCAACATCTTGTATCATTACTCTGTTCCAGGTCTGGAAAATAAATAACATAATATTCTGCTTTAAAACAGCATTTCACCACACCTGTAATCCCAGCACTCTGGAGACTGAGGCAGGAGGATCGCTGTGAGTTCGAGACCAGCCTGGGCTACATAGCGAGTTCCAGGGCAGTCTGAACTACAGAGTGAGACCCTGTCTCAAAAAACAAAACAAAACAAACAAACAAAAAAAAAACAGCATTTCAAAATCTTTAAGAGATTTTCAACCAATTTGACCATGCAAAGGAAAGGCTTCTGTTCTGTTAGAGGCACCCAATTAAAGTCAACTGCATTTTCTACGAGTCTTGCTAAGAAATACCTAAAATTATCTAATTAGGACAATGTTAACATGCACAAATATTCCAAAGCCATTTCAGCCCAGCTGACTATTACAGATTAATACCTCAGCTACACAAACACAAGCTCTAAGGCCAGCAGTCTATAACCAGCTACCTAAAAACCAAAGACAAATGGAGAGAGACAGGGCAGGGAGAAAATAAAGTGAACACAGTGTGGAGTTAATGAAGATGAGGGTGTGACTTAAGTTTGAGCTAAGCCATCTTTCTATCATTAAAAGCTCTGGGGTTGATGAGTTGATACAACCAAGGTAAGTTGAAACATTTTATTAATTAATTCAGCTCATCCGTAGTTACCTGATCAACAGTGTACTTGGCAACACAAACTTCCCCCGTGACAGGAATATAACCTTCTTCATGCACCACATTTGCGTAGGTTTCTTTTAAGCTTGCAGAGAGTTGGTTCATGTGTTTTAAAGCTTCTGAAGAATACAACTGGACATAAAAGTCACCTGGGTGTTTGAATTCAGTAACTGTACCCTTTCAGAGACAGAGAAGATACAATAATTCACTGCAAACAAAAGCAAATGTGAATTTCTTAAAGCTTTATAACTAGAGTTGCAGTTTTTTCTATCTTTACTAATTTAATCAAATATATTCTACAGCCACTTTATGATCGCAAATTAAAAATAAGGAATGAGGAAATGACAATTGGTTGTTCTTTGAATATTTGCCTATGATAAAAAAAAAACAAATACCTTTATTTCCATGGTTTTCTTGAGATGTAAACTTTTCAAATCAGAAAACATTATTTTCTCAGCACCAATGGCTATTTCTTTAGCCACTCCAGATGGACAGTTGCTCTGGTTTAAAAAAACACATAAAGGAGTTACTTACAAGCACATGTTTCAATGATACTGTGGCCACCAATTGCTAGACTCACAGCCTCAAAAGTCTAAGTAAAAGCGTGTACAAACACTATATTAATTTATTGGTACATTTTAGATATGCATAATGATCACATTCATAATAGGGACAGTGCACAAACAGGGACAGCCTCCAAGAATTCCAAAAACCCACTTTCCACGGGCAATGCACACAGCACCATATGTCACTCCAGAATGAGGTTGTGACAGGATAATGCTGAATTCATTTAAATAAATAAAATAGGAGGGATGTAGTCAATTCACAAGCAAGCATTTAAAATTTTAAATTGGGGCCAAGTGTGGCAGCAACTGCCTATAATCCCAGCACTCTGGGAGGCTGAGGCAGGAGGGTCACAAGTTGGGCCTGGACCACTTACCAAGGTTATCTGAACAAACAAAAAAACACAAACTGAGTTGTATAGCTCAGTGTAAAGGCCCTGGGTTTGATCCCTATACCACAATCAACAAATCAATAAAAACTTAAAGCTGAAAGTCAAAATTTTAAAATACATGAAGAGACAGCTAGACAAGGCCAAAACGTATCTATAAAGATAAGTTGGACACAATAAAAGTGTTTTGAATCACAAATCATTTAGATTCTAAATAATTAAATGGAAGAGACCTATTAACAGAAAAAAAATACTTAGTTGGAAAGTCAGGCCCTATAGAAAGTGGCATGCACAAAGAGAATCTGTATTTGAGGACTACAAAAAGATTTTTATACTGAAACACAGACATCTCAGGAACTTTCTGAAAAAAAGACTAGAAAGAAACAATTCTCAAAGACCTCCAGTTATCAAATCCCATCACTAGGGTATACAGAATTAATGGTAAATTTTTGTCTTCAAATAAACATTTGTGAAATGTGAGAGTTTTTGGAATATTTTATTTATCTTAAACCTTAATAAAGGAGTCATTAAAACTTTTCTCTGAAGACAAAGAATACCATACCTCATTTTTCACTTCCACGTTCATTTCAAAAGGAGATTTGTCATCTTCAAGTTTGTGGAAACTGAAATATACCAACAGATTCCAATACTTATGCTACAGAGGCAACTTTAAGAGTACAGACATTGATCACAATTATCTTAGATTCTCAATGAAGAAAATACAGAAAGAAAAAAACAGAGAGTTGTGCTTCCTCCAAAAGCTACTGAGTGAAACAGAAATAGTTAATCTCCAAGCCTGTTTTCTTATCTGTAAAATGAGGTAATCCCTGCATTATCTAGACAAAGTTTTGAGGATCAAATGACACTGTTTTGTAAAATGGTAAATGTCATGCAAGTAAAATTTATGTATTTTAAAATTACAGCTCAAGAGGTCCTATGAAAATCACAAATTATTAAAATTCAGGCAAGCATACATGACTACAAGGGTTTCTAAAATTCTAACCATTACAGATTCACTTAGGTTTCTTAAACATAGTATGTACTGTCAAATGAAATTATATTAGTAAAAACTAAGTTTATAGTTATTTACTTCAGATTTATGTCTTGTTATACTTTAATAAATAAGTAGAAAGTAACTTCAACGTATCTCTGGCCTGAGTAACTAATCAGAACCCCACTGTATCAGAAAAGAAAAAAAACAAAAAACAAAAACCCTCTTCAGTACTTCCCAGTGAATGAAGAGCAAGCACTTACTTTTGCTGGACAGGTTTACACACAATGCTGTGAGTGGACCAGTCCCTCCTCTGACACGCTGTGGAGCAGTAGTACGTCTGCTTGCACTGAGAGCACCTCAGTGACCCTGTGGGGCACAACCTGGGATGTCACTGAGGTGTATGCAAGTATGTGACACCGAGATTAAGACATGTGCAGGAACTAAACACATCAAACATCCTTCTGTTCATCCTCTCAAAAAGAGAGCTGTGCTGCTTATGGCTAGGTATTAAGATTTAACTTTTAAAACCCTCTCAAAATGCAGAGCAAAAGGATTCAAGGATGAAGATGACAGGCAGGTCAGACTGGAGATACAAATGACTCTTCCTAAAAGAGAGCCTAGAAAATATATTATAAAAGAAGCCAAAGCAAACAGAAAACTTCATTGTAGTGAAATTTAGACAAAGTAGAGACTGAAATGGCTTATCACGTGTCATTAAACCACAAAAAATGAAGAAAATCACACCTAGGAAAACCAGAAAGTTTTTGAAATAAAGTATTTTTAAAAAATACTTATTAGTATCCCAATGGAAGTAAACAAGTAATCTAAAAAACAACAAATAACAATAAACAAAAGCCAGGCTGTCTCAAATACTCCCACCCTAAAAGAAGGTGAAAACAAAAACAGGAAATGTAACTCACAAAGAGTCAGTAAACAAACAGAAAAACTGTTCAAGGTTGTTGATCATGAGGGAATTACACATTAGAACAATAAGTTATCACTGTATACCCATGAGATGAGTTACTGCTAAAACGACTGACAATATCAAATGTTGGAATGATGTACACAAACAAAACGGGACTACTTCAGAAATGTTTGGCAGTTGGTTATAAGTATACCTATCCTTTCACTCTGCAATGCTATTTGTAGGTATTCACCCAAGATAAATAAAAACACATGTCTATGCAAACACGCAGACAAAAATGTTTATAGAGCATTCTATTCATAATAACTCAAGATTGGCCAAAATCATGTTGATGAACAGGGAAATCAATAAATCAATTGTGTCAAAACATTATATTGTACACAGTAAAATATAAACAATTTGCTCTGTCAATAAAAAAAGGGGATGGGGATGTAGCTCAGTAGCGCAGTGTTTGCCTAGCACTCACGAAGCCCTGAATTTGGTGCTTAGTATCGCAAATAAGATAAAATAAAATAAACAAATTGCAATATAATCATACAGTAGAATACTACTCAACAATAAACAAAAAATGACCACAGGTGGATTTTGTTACTGAAGACAAATGACAATCACAACATATACATATACACATAATTCTTTTTACACTCTACATGTTTAAAAGTTTACATAATACAAATATTTTAAAATGTGTAGAATAATCTAGCAGACACCTAAGAATACTATGCTTACCAAACAGGCCACAGCGATGGCAAGTTGTTGACCGAAAAGGAAGTCGTAAAGAGTTGAAAAGTGCTGGATTATTTACGGACAAGGAATTCTTAACAAAGTGGTGTGACTTTTTTGACTTTGTAGAAGGCACATGATTGGTAGGCTTCTATTAAGAGAGAACAGCAATATTAGAATTTGGTCATAATTTCATTTTAAATACTACATTTGAGATTGCTTCTTTTGATCAGATAGAATTTTCCCTATTCATCCCATTAAATACAGCTAAAAACCCTAAATTATTCTATAAAACAAACATAAGAAGACTGAAAGGGGGAGATATCAATATACTCAAGGTGATAAAACACTGACACCAGTAAGTTGTGCATGTACAAAGCAAAATCTATAGCACTCTCCAGAAAATTTATACAAAGTAATAATACTCAAAAACACTAAACAAGGGGCCGGCGATCTTGCTGAGTGGTTCCACTGCCTGCCTTGCAAGCGCAAGGACCTGAGTTTGATCTCCGGTACCAAAAAAAAAAAAAAAAAAAAAAAAAAACACTAGACAAGTCAAAATGGGATTAAAAAATTATTCAAAAAATCCTCAAGAAGGCAAGAAAAGCAAAACGTAAATGGAAAATTTTAAACCCCCCAAATATCAGTGATTACTTTAAATGTAAATGGCCTAAATGCACCAATTAAAAGACAGATTGACCAAATGGGTTAAAAGATGCTACTTACATACTATTAAGTGATTTATTTCAAGTACAATGATATAAGCAGACTGGTAATAAAAAGATGGATAAGTACCTCAAATATTAAAAGAACAAGGTGGCTGAGTTAATATCAGATAAAACATTTCAAAGGAAAAAAATTACCAGGGAGGGACATTATGATGACAAAAGTGTCAATCCAACAGGCCTTCACACCGAGCTAGCTACATCCCCAGTCCTCTTTTTTTCAAAATTTCAGACAAGGTCTCACTAAATTGTCCAGGCAGAGGTTGAACTTGGAATGCTCCTGCCTCTGCTTCCCAGAGTCCTGTTGTAAGTATTAATTAACTAATTAAGGGATAGGGATATAGATCAGTGGTAGAATGCTTGCCTAGCAAGTACAAGGTCCTGAGTTCAATCTCCATCACTGGGGGTGAGGGGACCTACAGTTACTGGCAGAGAACTGAATGCTTTCTCCCTAATACTGGAAACAAGATCAATATATCCACTGTCACCGCCTTTATTCAATACAGAGCTGAAAGTCTTGCCAGTGTAATTAGGCAAGACGTTCCTCACGCCCTTGTCCCATCTGTGAAGAAAATGGAAAAGGGCAGAGGGATGGAACCAGTTGGTGACATTCAGTTTTATTTATTTTTTTAAACTCCCCTTGCCAGGTATGGTGGCACATGCCTGTAATCCCAGCACTTGGGAGGCTGAGGCAGGAGGATCCCCCATGGTATGAGGCCACCCTGGAATATAGAGCGAGTTCAAGGCCAGTCTGAACTACATAGAGAGACCCTGGCTCAAAAAACAAAACAAAAAATTCTAAACTCTCCTTAGCCTTAGTCTGCCACCGCCTGAGACTAAATAAAACTGTAGGTAGTAGAAACAGGGGGCCTAATCATGTTGGTATTTTCAGTGGATGAATATTATGGCCCACAAGAAGGTCTACAATTGTCCTGTTTCCATTCTGTCATCACCAATGTACTATAATTGGTGAAATTTCATGTATTATTACAACTCTTGTGAAAAAAGAAAAACAAAAACACTGAACCATTAAAAGGTGTTCATATACCCTCAAAAGTATGTGTGTGTGTGTGTCTCTATATAAAAAAGTATGCAGACACGGCTATGTAGAAAACTGCTTGGGATACAGAAAAAGAGTTCTAGAGTAAGTTCCTAGCAAAGTCACCAAAAACAAGATATATACGTAAAAATCTTATTTTTATATATAAGCAATGAATATGAGGACACACAAAGATAAATATTCAAAACATGAAATTCTTAAGCATTAGCATAACAAAATACGCACAGGATTTGTAGGCTAAAACCAGCAAATCAAAGACCTACATAAGTAGAAACACATTATTATGTTCAAAAATTGGAAGATTCAACTCAGCAAAGATGTCGATAACTTTTAAATTGATATACAGGCTCACATAATCCCAAGATTATTTTGTTGATATGATTACTTTGAGCAATGTATTTGAAGGCAAAGGATCTAGAACAGCTACATCAATTTTGGAAAAGTGGAATGAATCACTGTTCCCAATTTTAAGACTTATTATGTAGCTCTAATAATCAAGACTGTATGATATTGGTAGAGGAATAGATTAATGGAAAGCAACAGAGAAACCAGCAAAGAACAGAACCCAAACTATAAAGTAACTAAGATCTATGAGAATAAAATAAAAATGTGAACATCTCCAAATCCAGATAAGGATGTAGAGAAACTAGATCATTCACACATTCTTAGTGAAAATGCAAAATGGTACAGGCACTCCAGAGAACAGTTTGCAAGTTTCTTAAACAAAACATGCAACAATTATATGACACGAACTTCACCCCTGGGCATTTTTCTTGCAGAAATAAAAACTTGGATACAGCAGTTTTATTTTCAGTAGACAAAAACTGCAATCAACATAGATATGTGCCAGTGGGTGAGGGTTAAGCAAACTATGCATACACAGCAAGCACCAGAAATGATCAAACTCCAGACATAAAAAACAACCTAGCTCAATTTCCAGAGAATTACTCAGAGTGAAAAATCCCAATCCAAAATGATTATATCCTAGTTCCCTCTCTACATTCCTGAACATCACTACTGTGGCGCTGTAGAGAGTAGTGGCTGCCAGGGACTAAGGGGCACAAGGCAGGCGGATGCAGCCACAGAGACCTACAAGGGACCTTTGTAATGATGGAAATATTCTGTATCTTGACTGTATCAATGTCAATATCCTACAGTGTGTGTTTGTTTTTTGAGACAGGGTCTGGCTGTGTAGTTCAGGCTGGCCTTGAACTCATGTGGATCCTCCTCCTCAGCATCCCAAGTTCTGGGATTACAGACATGCACAACCACTCCCAGCCATCCCAGTTTTAATACGGTTCTTCAGCTTGTTACCCCTGGGGGAAACTGGATATAGGCTACGTACTGTTTCTCTATTTCTAACAACTGCATGTCAATCTACATTTATCTCAAAAGGAAAAAAATTCAAGATGCTAATTTTGTTTTGTTTTTTTTGTGTGTAGCGGGGATCAAACTCAGGTCCTTGTGGTTGGAAGGCAGGCAGCAGAACCACTGAGCCAAATCCCTAGCCCATGGTGCTAGATTAAAGAAAAGAGAATTGAGGTTGGGGGAAGGAGAATAAAACTGATTGATGAAATACGGACATGTACCAATTTCCCAGGACGACTGTAATCACTATGTCTCATAAACATACACTAATAAAAAAATTAAGATCTGACCTTGAAATATCTACAAATATAGCATTTTTATCAGTACAATATAAAAATGTTAGAATATTTTACCCAAACAAAAATGCAATATAGAAAAAAAAAAAAGACTTACAGGTTTTATTTCTCTAGATGGTGAATCATTTCCAATACTTAATGGAGACACTGAGTTTCCTGGGAAAGACAAACACAATTCTTAAAAAAACACATCATGAGTTATTCCTGATAATGTAAAAGTATCATAATAGGCTGATATTCAAATAACAGTCATTCCATAATGGCCTTATCACCATAAATAAGCAACATCTTACTTTTCCAAACAGAATATAAGGACTTGTCTAAATCTTTCTTGACTACTAATGTTCTCATTGTGAATTTTTCCTATTCATAAGACAAAAATTCTCCAACCTTTGAACTCAGAACCTCTTTATACAGATAAAAATTTCTGAAGAGCCCAAAGTCTTTGTTTGCACATCTTATGTCTATCACTATTTACTGTGCTAGAAATTAAAACTAAATTGTAAAATATTTATTCATTTTAAAATAAATGTATTACATGTTGACATCATTTGTATTAAAAAACTTTTCAAAACAAAAAAGTGATAAAAAGTTTACATTTTTGTATACCTAATGTTTGACTTAACCAAAGACATCTGGATTCATATCATGAATATGAATATAGATGCCTTTGCATTCAATCTTTCATATGCTGCTTTGGCTGGAATTTCTGAAGACAATCTGGCCTCATACAGATATTATTGCCGAAAGGAGGAGTATTTAATGGCCTCCCAAGATAACGAGGACTCTAAACTACATTATTCTCTTATATTAGAATCAACTGATTTATCCTGACTTCTGAGTAGACTTTTAACCACGAAGTTAGTTCATCCAGTTACAGAGTTGTCATATGTTGACAAATTTCATTATACAATATCAAAAACTGTGTTACTACTGCATATATCTCACAAGAAAAGATTTAAATATTTGGGGTGCTCAGAGCGGCAGACACAAACTCCCTGCAAACCTACTCTGCTTGAAAGTTCGAATTTTATCACTGGCAACAAAAGACTGTCAGATGTTGTCCTTGAAGTATCAAGCTCACTTAGCTAACTCTTTAGAAAACGCTTGGTAAATAAGTCCGCACAAAGTTTGTGATTCAAGTTTTCCAAGAAAACTTCATAACTCAGTCACATCCATGCTTTTCCTACTTCAGAAGGTAGGAGCAGTTCTTACTTCATTATACAAAATGAAAAAAATACCTGTATACAAGGGTCATTTAATAAAAATAATCTTTACAGTTTAATTGAAGAGATTTTTAAGTGAAATTGGCATTTCTGGGCTTAAGTGCCTGTGCACAGCAATGAAACAGAAACCACCAGCCCAGGACGGTGCCCTGGCCCTGACCTCAGCTGGAGTACACTAAAACTAATGCAGCTGATTCATCCTTGCTTCTGCACCATGAGAGTAGTCAGCATGGAAAAAAAAAAAATGGCAAAAATGTTAATGTCTTATGAAAGTGATTCTGAATTTCTGAGGAAGCCCAGAGGTCCAAGGGTCATGGTTTGAGAATTATACCAACATAATATTAAAAGATCACATCTCATATACCTTCAAAGAAGCTAAATTCCACCAGGTCCTACCCTCCTTTAAAAGCAGAGTTTTAGAATTAAGACAAAAAGAATAATCACATGAAACCAGTTATCTGATCTTTCTAATGCAAATTTCTTATGCAGGTTTTATTTGCATAAAATTTGTGTGACATTTTAAAATATGGCCAGTCTTTAGAACACCCACAAAAAAGCCAATGTACTTCCTTTGTACATTCCCAGTACAGTTTTCGAATGCAGGAGGGAAAAAGCTCATCTATAGTCATTCTCTGCAGGGGAATCCTTTCTGTGATTAGTCACGCCAAAGGTAACTACCTGTACTTATTTGTTTTCCTTCTGAATTAGTAACAAAATACAAATACTATCAGGAAGTCACCTTGCTGTTTCAGTTATTGCAGTTACAACGGGTGATCAAAATAAATAGTGAATTTATTATAGTTAAGGGACAAATTACAATTAATCTCCCTCAAAATACTCTTCCTGTTGCTTCCAACACACTTATCCCTTCATACTTGCCACTTTCCGAAGCAGTTCTGGAAGCCCTTTCTGTCTTTAGGTAGAGGGGTGGAAAATACAGTGAATGCTGCTGCTGAGGTCAGCCAAGGGAAAAGGCTGTAAAATATGCTGTGTCCTCATTCACCTTACTCACAGTGCCAACTGTGTGATCCAGGATAGCAAAGATGTCACCAACTAACGACACTCACAAAAAAGTGACTTCAGATCTGCTTCAGAAAGAGGGAAGATTGGTGGGGTAAGTGTATTGGAAGCAACAGGGACTGTTCTGAAGGGATTAAAGGCCATGTGTCTTTTGCTATAGTAAGTTTTTTAAAATTTAAACATTCACTATATTTTTCAACCACACTGTGTATGTGTATATTAAACAACTATGATATTTTATATATTTTTTCTTTTTTTTGTGGAACCAGGGATAGAACTTAGGACCTCGCACTTGTGAGGCAGGTGCGGTGCCACTGAACTAAATCCCCAGTCCCAATAATATATATTTTTTATGATAAGTCAGAGAAACTAACAGAATCAGGAAATAGTGGGTCTAAGGCAGTGGGACGGTGTATGCCTCTTATTCCAGCACTCTTAAGAGGCTAAAGCGCAAGAGCTGTAAGTCCAAACCCAGCCTGGGTAACTCAGTGATTTAACAAGACTTTGCTTCAGAATTTTTAAAAAATGAAAAACATGCTAATGATATAGCTCGGTACAAAGGTCCTGGGCTCAACCCCCAGACTCACCCCTCCAAAAAAAGATGTAAGCCAGTGGTTTCACTCACCTGTCTTTCTGTTTCCTTTGGATCCAACCACTTCTCCATTGATGCCACCAGCATTTGAAGACAATACACTGTCTTCCTGACTAGGTAAATACTGTCTGTTTTGCTCACAAAGCAAAACATTGTTTTTGTTTCCATTCTCTGGACTTTTCAACCTGAAATTAGGATGGTTATGATGTCCTCCAGGAGTTCTTAAAGAATTGTGTGATGGAAGTTTGACTTCATTATTTTCAAAATTAAATGGCTCTGTCGTTTGACAAGTAGATGCTTCCAAGTTCCTTGACATTATATTAAGCGGTAATTTAATATTCACAGAAGTCTAAGGAAAGAAACATATTTAAGAAGCAACTTTGAATTACAAAAGTAGAACTGCAGGCACAGATGACTTCTTTCAAATATTTATGTAAGAGGTTAATTCCCATAAACTTTTACAAAGCACATTTAACTCAGACGTTAAAACTTGGCTTAAAAGCACAAGAAAATAATTCTCTACAGATAGTTGTACAAACTTCAAGCTTGGAAGAATTCAATGACAGATCAACAAGCGACATTTAAAAAGTAATCTCAGAGTTCCACACCACTGCTTACATTTAAGAGCTTTTGAAGCGCCAGGAATAAAAAAGGTCTTTCATGTTTTAAAAGAAATATTTCCAACCTAAAACCTACACTTCACTGTGAAATACAATAGGAGTAATTGTTTAAATCAGGTCATCACCTACCTTTCTACCCTCTCAACCTTCTACTTTATGCTACACCAAGTTCCCGACAACGCTAAATCCCTACCCAGAAGGCCTTCGCATTCCCACCTGCCTCATCATGTGACGATTCGTCTCAGCTGACCCCTATTCGCTCTGGTTTTCTCAAATAGCCTGTTTTGATAATCTTCGGCTGCATTTCCATAGTTTACAACTTGTATTTATTTTCCTTTTCAGATCATATCTTTAGGCATCTTTAGCAAAAATTAAAGACATTATGGCATGCTTCCGTGTTTAATTTGTTGCAAAGTGCCTCAGAGAAAATTTATCCAGAAATGAAGGTGGCTTGAGGATTTTTTTATTACTCTTCAAGAATAGTAAGCTTCCTGTCCCTGGACATCATCTAAACAATTCTTCTTTTTAAGTAGTGACTGGTTTTATCTGTAAATTGGGTGCAAAATTTATATGCATTCTCCCTACTCAGGATAAAAAAGGTTAAAGAGAGCTGAAACTAAAGAATAATGCTTAAATTGTTGTTTAATGTGGTCTTGAACAAAAAACTCTTACACAACTTCTGTCTCATTTTTTGTTTCAGAAATTAGTTCTATCCTAATCCAGTAACAGCCCATCAAAGATAAAATTTAAAAAAGAAACAGGCACACTCAAAGGTGTAGCACTCTCAGTGGGGCAGGTCCTGGGTGGATCCCTAACAGAAGATCCACAGGCATGCGATTGTGGCAGGAGACCCTGCAGCTGTGGAGGACGCTACACCTGTACCAACAAGCCTAATTCAAAGGAACAGGTTGAGAGCCACAGTATTGGGTACAATTGGGGGATGACTTGTCAAATTACAAAGGAACTATCTTTGATGGTGGCGGTGAGGACAAACACTATGAGCACTGAGTAACTATAGCTCTGCCCAAGAAATAATTTGTATTAAAATATTAGAACAGAATCACAACACCTAAATGGAAAACACAGCAAGTAGGAAACATCAAGTAAGATGACAGAACCAAGCCTAAGTCATCACTGGGTTAGCCTCAATTAAAAGGGGGGGTGGGAAGAGATGAAAGGAGAAAAACGTCCAGTTAGATGTTACACACAAAATGTACATATAAAATAAAAATTATAGTTAGGTTGAAAATAAAACAGATGCTGTGCAAATAACCCAAATTAAGGTGCAATGTATTAACAGCAGATAAAATAGAACTCAAGGTAGAAAATACTGAGCAAAAAAAACCACACACTTTACATGGATATAAGAAACACTCTAAGGAGAGCCAGGGATTTAGCTCAGTGGTTCCACTGCCTTCCTCTTGAGCTCAAGGTCCCAAGTTCGATCCCCAATACCAAAAAGAAAAAAATAAACACGCTAAGGAAAAACAGAGCAGTTGCCAGGAATCTGGGTCAAAATAAAGTCACTGAGATGAACGAAGCAAAACTGGATGAGAAATTCAATCTACAGTGATAGACACACCTGCCTTAGGCCCAAATTGATAAAACAGAAAACAAGCAGTGATATGGATATTTTACTAACAAAATAAACTTCATCTAACAGGTATCAATACAATATTTACCTTCCCATTGAGCATATAATAAACCCACATTAACTCCAAAAAACCTAAATGTCATATAGGTCACATCCCTTCTTCACAATGTGTGTGTGTGTGTGTGTGTGTGTGTGTGTGTGCGTGCCGGCGTGCGTGCTTGTGCGTGTAGGGGGTTTTACTGCTATTTTTTTGAAGTGGGAAAATATCACAAAGGAAATGACAGCAAATACGACTACAAAAACAAAACTTCATGAAAATGAGTTAAATAGGCTAGGAAATAAGTATCATGAAGATGACAAATTTGCTATCTTTGCAAACATGTGATACATAATAAAACACATCAGCATACTACAGCAGACACTGTGTCCCACTGACACAAGTGGCACTTTCAGTCTCAGGCTTGTCAAATATTGTTAGTTATAATACTGCCCACAGCCAGAGTTCTCTTGGGTGAGACTTCTAAGAAAGCTCCACCCTTTCTTAATGAACAGGGTCAGATTTGGCTGGGGGAGCCTTTTACTCTTTTCATTTGCAATCCCTGGTGTAAATTTTTTTTAATTCAAGATGAAATAACTATATATTATATTCTGCCTAGAATGGGTAAAATTTAAAAGGCCTACATTACCGAATGGAATAAAATTAATACTGTATGCTTTTTTTCCTGGGAAGCAGTGTGTGAGTGTACGTGTGTGGGGGGGAGGAATCCTAAAAGTATTTCCCACTGATTTGGTAACTATTTCTAAAAAGTATCTCATTAAAAAGTATCTCATTAAAATAATCCAAAGTACAAAAACAAACTGCATGTACAATTACATGTACAAATGTATGTTATTTAAAAAGGCAAAGGGGGAGAGGGCTAAGTACAATTCCTCTCCTAGGCAAAATACTAAACTATCATTTAGAATACTAGTTTCCAAACAAAGTGTAAAAGGCCTATTACAATGTAAATGGAGAAAATCAGAAAAAAACTGTACTCAATATAATTATATCTGTAAAGGAAATGTATGCCAAAATGAATGAAACTCACTAAATTTTATTCTGGAAGTGAGATAAGGAAATAATTTTCAGTCTTTTTCACTATACAAATCATATCTAGGATAAACTGTTTTTATAGAAAAAGTAGCTTTTTTCCCCAAAATGTGTTTACTTAATTCTAATTCAAGTAAAGGGACCATAGTAATAGCTAAACCATAAAATTAGACTACAGTCACCATCTTCTCAAAACAGTGGCTCCGGAAACAGCTTTTCCTGACTTGTCCTGATCTATGAGGCTGCCAGTTAATCCAGTCAGCTCCTCATCACCTTGGACCACTGTTACCTATGGAGAAGTTTGTCTTCTACGTTACTTCAAGTTGTCTGAATGTGGGAACCATCTTATTTAAAAAATTATTTAAAAACACCTTGATTTCCCATAGCAACCAGTATGGTGTTTTGTACAAATGAGATGCTCAAAATAAATCTATATGATAAGAACTATTTTATATTTTCATGACAACCTGGACAGGGAAAATAAAACCCACTGATGAAATAGCATCTAGCAGTCTTAAGTGGAGAATCAGATAATGTCATTATTTGTTGAAATTTAAGAGCAAAACCTCATGCCTTGTACCAGCTCTTCCCAAATTCAAAAATCTGTAAATATTAATAACATTGATCTTAGGCTCACTGTAAAGCAGCATTTAGAGAAGTAAAAAAACGGAATTTAAATTTAAAAGAACGTCCACCTGTGGTGGGCTGTTTTGGTTTGCTATTCAGCAATTCCCATTACATTGATCAGGCAAATACACATTCAGGCCTATTTGCTCAAACTTTATTTGCTTCAAACTTCATTTGGAGACAGTTAATGGCTCTGTATGTACACACACACACACACACACACACACACACACACACAACCCTGTTGTTGCCTGCAACTGCTTTTCAATCATCTGAGACAAGCCATGATCCCCTTATCCTCCAGGTCTTTCACCTAATGATACAATGCCTTCTAAGTTCTGCACAATTCTAGACCTTCTCTAGTCAGAGACCATCAGAGACCCTCCCACACACCTCACTCAGAAGTGAGGACAAAACTTCAGATGTGGCAGTCACTACATCCTAACCTTCAAATGCGGGCAGCCAGGACTTCTGTTGTGTCCAAATGAAATTCTCGGTCGCCTAAAATCATTTGGAATTGAATTTTCTAATCCATCACACCACTAAATTGACATTTTCTTTTAATTTACAGTTCTATTATTTTTAAAATGGTACACAGGATGGAACTCATGGGCTTAAGCTTGCTAGGCAAGCACTCTACCACTGAACTACATCTCCATCTCCCCCGTTTCTTTCATTTTTTGGTGCTAGGGGTTGAACTTGGGACATTGTGCTTGTGAGGAAGGCAGCAAAACCACTGAGCTAAATCCCCAGCCCTATTTTTTTTTTTTTTTTGAGAAAATGTCTCACTAAATTGTTCAGGCTTGTGTCTAATTTATAATCCCCGACTCAGCCTCCGAAGTAGCTGCAATTACAGAGGTGTGCCACTGAGCTCAGCTGAGTTCTATGAGTTTTAACACATACACAAGTTTATGTGTAAGCACCACAATGAGGACACAAAGCTTTTACATTTGAATTTTGACGCTAAAAACACCTGAGACTTTGCGTGTACAATTTATGTACTTAACATTATCCTACATTAACCACCTAGCATACCTGAATCTCAAGTGGGATCCTTAAGTTCTCACGATTGGTAATCACTAATTTCTCTCGCACTACTGCCAAAACAGAGACGTAAAAGAGTAGAGCTCAAGCTCTCTCTCTTTCAGGGAGGCTCAGCCCCCTCCCATTCAGTGTATTCACCTGAATACACTAAGAAGGCTATCCAGGGAGACCATCAGCCCAGTTCAGCCATTTTTGCCTGGCACCAGGATTTCAAACTTCTAGCCTCCAGAACTGTGAGAATTAAGACTTGGCTCAGTGGTTTGGTGACCTGCCTTGCAAGTGCAAGGACCCGAGTTCAATCCCCAGTACCCCCCCAAAAAAAAGAGTGCCCTCAGCTTTGCTTCTGTGCTTCCAGCTTTGACCCCCAAGCATGTGAAGCTCCCTAAGGGCAGACACTCTTCCCTTGGAATTCTATTCCTGTCGCTCATGCTGTTAGGAGCCTCCTAGGATACACCTAACACTCAAGTAAGCCCTCTTCTCTCTCTAGGAGGCCAAAACAAATCCCCAGTGAGTTAATTCCCTTATTAACAAGAGTGAATACAGAGATACTTAATTGTCATTAATTTTCTTCTTTACAGTTTGCTTTGAAAGTTTTACAAGCCTGTAACCCCAACACTCTTGGAGGCTGAGGCCAGGGTCACAAATTCAGGCCTAGCCTAGGCACTAGTGACTTAGTAAGGCAGTCTCAGAAAAAGGTGGAGCCAGGCTGGGGATGTAGCTCACTCAGTGTAGAGGCCCTGGGTTCCATCCCCATAACAGAAAAAACTTTGCTTTTGTCTTCCTGCTAACCTTACAGATTCAAGGAATCATTCTACACTGTTTTAAAACTATAAAACTCAGTTGAGCATGATCTTTGAAGATCATGATCAGATCCAAGTCCTACTTTCCCCACTTGGCAATACTATCTTGAGCTAATCATTTCATCTTTCTAGGATTCAGCGACTGTAAATGTGGACAGCAGTATTTCCTGACCCTAAACATGAAGATTAAACGAGACCACCTAAACCACCTAGCATGGAGGCTGCTGCTGAAGTCTTACAGGGTTGGGATTGCCAAAGTGGGTGTTGCATGCATGCAATCCCAGCTACTCTGGAGACTGAGGCAGAAGGATCTCAAGTGAAGAGGCCAGTTTGGGTAATTTAGCCAGACTTCCTTTCAAAGTCAAATTGATAAAGGACTGGAGATTAGTTCATTGACAGAGCACTTGCCTAGCGCCGGTGAAGCCCTGATTCAATCCCCAGTACCGCCAAACAAACAAACCCAAAACCAAATAGAACAAAACAACAACAAAAAAGCAAGCTAATATTTCTATTTCCAGCCCCTCCTGTCCACCTCAGTACCAGTGACCCAACCCAGGGCCTCTGGCATGCTATTGCCAAGCGCTCCTGCACTGCCACCTCTCCAGCCCTCTTTTACACCTACCTCACACACACACGCTCGCGCTCTCTCTCTCTCTCTCTCTCTCTCTCTCACACACACACACAAAACGTTCCCTCGTATAAGGAACTAGTCTGTACATTTAAAAGGCAGATAATTTGAGCATTACAATATTTCTTTGTTCCCCAAAATGAAGTAATTTGGGAAGTTGAATAAAGTGCCCACTCCCAACCCCAACCAGCACCTTACTCGGTGAGAACATCCGGATCAGACTCCTAACTGTGCAGCTCCGCGCACTGTATGTACCCTGGCGTCTCACCAAGGGAAAGAAAAGCTCTCTCTCTAGATCCGGAGGCCCAACCGGGCAAACACAGCAGGGGGCCCTGGAAAAGCCAACTTCCCAGAGAACAGCAAGTGGCACACAGCAGACCACCACAAACACTCCTTGAGTAAACCAGCGCCCCCCTGCCCACCTAAGGGAACTCAGGGCATCTTCCTCTCCTGCCTCGGCTGTGTTAGGTAGGGAAGTCCAGTGTTAACATTGTTTCTCTAGCTTTTGAGTTAAAAGCACGGAATCCACAAACAAGCAGTGCTATTTCCAAACCCACAGCAGGGCCCCTGCTTGCCTCTTCTCCCTCCAATCAATACAGAATCAGCCCATCTCAAGGCTTCCTACCTACCCTGACCTGTCCTCCCCAGCCCGTGTTCCATGGCCTTTACCTACCCTTCCAGCCTTTCTCCACTTCCAGGCCTCGCCCGAGTTCAAGGCCCACCTTCAACGCCTGCTCTCAACGTCCAGTCCCCAACGCCCAGCCACCAACGCCCATAGCCGGGTCGCCCTATGCCTGCCCCCCACCGCCCTCCCCCGGCTACTGGAAAACCAGACCTGCAAAGAGGTTGAAGCACCGCCACCACCTACCGGACCAGTCTCCGAAGCCTAGTGGGGGAGTCAGCTGCAAGTGTCCAGATCCCCGCGGCCAGGTACCCTCCCCAGCTCGCCCCGCTTCAAATGCTCAGCTGGGCCTCCCGGATCCTGCGTGGCGCCTGCGCAGTCTGCGCCCACGAGAGCCTCGAGCGCCCACGTGTGCCCTCGGGCCTCCCGGAAACCGGGCTGCTAAACAGCGGGGCGTCCTTGCCGGGCTGGGGCTTGCTCCTGAACGCTCTGCAGAAACTGTGCACTTGCTTAGATTCTTGTATGAAGGTAATCCCCAGGAGCTCCGTGGGCACATTTTGAATGCAAAGACACCGTCCTTGCCTCTGAAAGTAACTGGAGTCGCTTGAGCCACTTAAAAGTCAAGAGTTTCCCAAATGAATCCACTATCTCTGCCCGCTGTTGGAAACTAAAGTTTACATTTATTCAGACTTATTTACCTCCCCCCAACACACACACACACACACCCCTTTTTTGAGCCGAGAACCCCCCCACCCCCATCCAGGATACCACAGTCCATTTTGTTATCACGTCTCTTCAGGCTTTTCTGGGTGATTATACTTTCTCAGATTTTCCTTGTTCTGATGGCCTGACAGTTTCCCGGATTACTGGTCACGCTTTTTGTAGGATGCTCCACTCTTGAAATTTGATATCTAACGAATGTAGGAATGGAGTTACGCATTATTGGAAAGAAGAGGTAAAGTGGGGTTTTCAGTGTATCAGGTCAAACGTATCTCCTACGAGCAGGATGTATGACGATGTTGGGCCTAATCTTCTTGCTGAGGTAGTGATTGCTAGAATTCGCTACTGCAGTTACCTCCCTTCCATCGTAAATACTGCAGAAGGAAGCCATTATGTGAATCCCCCATCCGGGTAGGGTATGCTCAACCTGTCTTCGGCTTACACCTTTCTTGCTCCAAACATGCAACCAGACCCCAAACTTTTTGGCCCAGATACGTTTAGTGGGAAATTATAGACATTATCATAGTCTGGAGAGTAGGATGAGCTCTGGTTGGTCATTGTTGTAGGCCTTTATAATGGGTAGACTTACTGCCCGCCTTACCCCCATGCTAGGGATCAAACCCAAGATCTCTAACAAGTTAGGCAAATTTTCCGTCAAGGAGCTGCGCCCCCAGCCCTGAATTTCTTAAAGAAAAAAAAAATGCATCATGAGCTCATTCTGATTTTTCAAATTCAAATGCAAGATGGTAGTATCTTTTACTTCATTTCTTTTAATTTTATATTTTTTGTTTTTATAGTGAAAAACTTGGTTCTCAGACATTTATATGCTTAATACTAATTATAAGTTCAGGAATAAATTTAGAAATAATACTCATTACTGGCAAAATGAGTACTAAAACTAAAAAAAAGCTAAAGTGTCTTTAATTTGTTTTCTTCCTTGTAATAATAGAACTCACTGGAATGTTTGGTTGATATATTGTTTTAAAGCTAACTCATCTCTTTACTGTCACAAACATTCTAATTTTAAAGTGTTTTAATACAGGACCTTCACGTGAGGAAAGAGATGCCATTTCTTGTTGAAGGGGACAGTATAGAATTACACAGCATTGGTTGTTTTTTTTTGTTGTTTTTTTGTCGCGAGCCGTCGACACAGAGCACTGTCCAGCAGTGCCTCAAACCTGAAAGAGCAGCGGGGTGGAGATGGGGCAGAGAGAAAGGAAGGACGCGAAGACAAGAGTCTGATCAAGGGGACATTTATTGCCGGCAAGCATCAGCCTTTTAAAGCAAAAAAACCCCCACAAACTATTATGGGATGGGGTTACCATAGTAACTGAAAGTTCACACAGGAAAAGAGCAAACAGGCTCAACAAAAACAACCCACCGTGGGTAGAAGTAACCCGGACAACCACACATCTGAAAGTCAGAGACAAGAAACTGCAACTTTCAGGAATTCCACAAAGGAAACACACCACCTGCTAAACTGGAGAAACTTAACACATATGGAGTTACTAAAGTTAACAATAGTTACAACCAATACTCATGATCCCCACATTTTTTGTTTTTTGTACCAGGGATCAAACTTGGGTCTTTGTGCTTGCAAGGCAGGCAATGGAACCACTGAGCTAGATACCCGGCCCCTGGCGTTGTATTTTTTCCCAGCAGTTAGTATGAAAGAAACTTAACAGAACGGTATTATTCTACTTCCACAAACTTGGGACACATTTGAATTAACTATTTTCACTGGGAATCTCTGCCAAAAGGTAGCAAACCAAAGAACGTTTCACCGGTGGAAGATTTGCAGTCTCCATGGACAGAAACTGCTCGCCTTCCTTCTGCGGACCGAGCCTGGCAACTGTATTCAGGAGCCTTTGGGTATTCGCTGTCCTCAAGGCGCCGAGTGCTTGGCAAGAGACCAAGTCGCCCAGAGTTTATTTATTAGTAAACAGCGGCAGTAGCTACCACTCGGAGGAGCCAAACTCTGGAGCGTTTCGGAACCTCCAGCGGACTGCGGTAGAGAAAGATTTATGGATTGGACAGGTAGGTCGCCTGACTCCGCCCACCACTTCAGGTGAAGTGTTTGCGCCTGGGTGCCCGGAGACCAGTTTCGAATTCTTTTATTATTTTACACCCTTGACTCAGAAGAGGATGGGTCAAAGGGTGAGGAAGGCTGATATCCAGTGGGCGCTTCCCACTGAAAGAAATCAGCCACTTGGATCGGGAGAGGCGTAAGCCGTCGGACTGCACTGGGTGCAGAGCCGGCTCGCCAGGTGCCCGGGGGCAGCGTCGCCCAGCCAAGAGAGGCGCGGAGCTGGTCCTCCCCGGGGCGGAGAGGCAGAAGGCTGCGTCGCGGTAGCCCTGCCCACTGCGGACAGGTTACCCCAGACCTCCAGGTGCTTTGCGTCACGCCTTCCGCGCCGCGGCGATTGGCTCATCCAGGAAGCCCCGCCCCCTCAGCTGTGGCCGGGCCGGCTTCGGCGGCGCCGCCATCTTTGTTGATGTGTCAGCTCCGCGGGGGTTTTGGCAAGCGACGGCGGCGGAGAGAGCTAGGGAATCGTCTCGATCCCCCCCGCTTTCTTTTCCGCCCACTCGTGGTCTGCGGTTCCCAGTCATGGAAAAGTTGAGCCCTCTGTTCGGACGCCAGAGGTCCCGCTAGGGTGCGGCCTGAGGCTTGGAGAAGTGCGGTGAGTGCCTGAGGGGCCCCCACGGCGGACCGGCGAGGCGCGGGCTGGGCTGTCGCCCTCTCGC